TGCTACTGGCTTTATTATTCCTCTCCTCCTCTCTTCTTCTCCCTCAATAGCAGCCAGGCCACAAAGATCTTCTAAGGCTGCGAGGTCCAGGTCAAATTAGATAAAAACTTTTAAAACATTACAAGGGTGTGGTTGCTTTCAATAAGCTTCTTGCTCAGTTGAGATGTTATTTAGCTGCCGAAGAGGAAGCCTTATGGTTATTTAAAAAAAAAGGCCAGTTTTTAAGGCTTTTTTTTTTTTTTTTTTTTTAAATATTCATTTTCATTTAAAATCCCCTGTCCCATTACACTATTGACAAGCATTTTCATTTTATTTTGTGTGAAAGACCACCTAACACTGCGCACCACTTCTCAGCCTTCTCTGAAGGCTCCTGGCTCACTTCCACCTAGGATCTGCTGTAATTCACAGTACAGGGAAACAAGTAAGTTTGGATTTTGATTTCTTTGTTCGTTTGGGGGGTTGAGAAGCAGCTACATGCCTCTAAGTTTGAGAGGTGAACCACACAGCTAAATCCAGAGATGAATCCACAGCTGGAGCAGACATTTTCAGCTTTGGTAGCACTGTACATTTAGAGCTACACAAGGCCTGCCTGGAGCTCTTCCACCCTTCGCTCACCAGCATTCGCATTACGATGCCTGAAGGCCCTTTGCCATAACAGGTTAAGAACTGCCATCTGAGTGCTTGCCACAAGCATCCATTAGTGAGAGCTCCTTGAATAGAAAATAGCATTACTGATTGTTCTGTCTCACATCCCTGTGTTATTTCATTTAATCACTTTCTCCTAAGGTTCATCTTCACATTTAGCTCTGGAACTCCATCTACATTTTGCCTGAGACAAGGTGGGATCTTTTGATTGGACTGCATTAACCCAGGTACAAGAGTCTGCTCCTCTGAGACTTTTGCAAAGTTTTCTAGCTAGGATTTGAAATTCCCAATCACTTTCATTTTGCAAACTGTCTTCAGTTTACAACCTGAGAGTCAATCCTGAAATAATCTCTCTTAGAGAACTCTGGAATTGCTGAATTTTGCTCACCAGCCATCTGCAGAAGGTGGCTTTTACAAACTCTTCAACATCCCAGACATCAAGACTTTCTCTGCATTCACTGGATCCATTTGGGATTGAGTCTGTGGTCTAGGCAGTTAATTAGGCACAAATTCTCTACAGTTCAACATATCAAGTGCTCTGTGGATTGCCTAGAGAGCACATGATTGGTAATGGTCCTCCAGCCATCACGTGTGGTTGATTTGTTTTGTTGGAATGACTCTCTGAAATAAAATGCTGTACATTTTGTGCTCTTAGCCTTGAATGATCAATGGGGAGCACTGCTCAACATTAAGCAGTCAGTCTCAATTTGTCTATGCTGGATAGTGATAAAAAAACCCACAATTCTACAGAGGATAATTCTTCTCAAATAATTCAGAGGTACAGAATTAACAGATGTACAGACACAAAGGTCAAAAATGTCATTTTCCACTACATCCCCTGCTGGTTCCTACAAAGGATGAGAAAAGCACTAAAAATAGTAATTAGTATAATTCAGAACAGCAGTCAGAATACATACTTTTTTTTTTCTTTTTTTTTTTTAATTCTTCCTTTATATTATATCCAAAGGGGTGGCATGTCACTATAGGTAACAGCATTTTGTTATCATCTGATGTAAAAAAGGCTTTTGCAAATTGCAAGAGCTGCACTCCTGCCTCCCTCCCCAGCGTCAGTAGGTAGGAGCATTGCACAGCACAAGGCTGCTGCTCACCTCCCTGGTACCTGGGGTGGAGGGAATTATCCCACTGATTCCTACAGCTGTTTTTCAGGGCAGGGTGTTACTGCCACCAGCCCTCACTCTGCCATCCCCTGATCCTTTCCCATCCTTTGGCATTTTGGATGTGACTTTTTTTATAAAAAATAAGTTAATTCATCTACTAGATGTGTCCAACGAACCATATGACACTCCAAAAATGCCAAACACAACAACACTAGGAGCTGTTTTAAAAAGTGATAGCAGGCGGCACACCAGCACGTCCTTGGCTCATTTAAATATATACATATATCAAGCCATTCAGATTTAGGCTGAGATGATGCACTTCTATGGAAAGCTTGTCTTTCTTGCAGTAGTCAGCATGTGTTCTATTCTCTTCAGTCTCTAAAAACATTGAAATCAGAGCCAGATATCAAGTAGAATCAGATGTCATGACCCAAAAGAGAGAGTAAACAGATGCTATGGGGACATATGGCATACAAATTCTTTTCCACTGTGAATTCCCCGGTCACAGAATCACAGAATGGTCAGGGTTGGAAGGGGCCTCAGGGATCATGAATCTCCAACCCCCCTGCCACATGCAGGGCCACCAATCTCCCCATTTAATACTACACTAGGCTGCTCAGGGCCCCATCCAATATGGCCTTGAACACTTCTAGGGACCTGTCAAGCAAACTTCTTAACTGTTTCACTATTTGCTCCTGTATGCAATATGTGAGGGAGTTAATTGCCATTTTTTTTCTGTATTAAAGGGACAGATGAATATTATTTACCATTTCAGAAGTGGGGGAAATCTCCAACATCCTTTGCCTATCCCTAAGTTCTTTACTCTTGCAAGGATGCACTTATTCCTCTATTTTTCCTGTGCTCTATTTGTAATTATGTGATCGTGACACACCTTACCCCAAAAATAAAGACCTCACTGATAAAGTGTGGGCATGCTTCCATAGAAGTGAGAAATATAATAAGTGTAGACAGGCTAAATTGCTTTCTAAATCACCCACTTCCACTGAACAGAAGAGAAGTAGGCATATCTGAAAAAAACTGGCGGAGGGGGAAAACACAAGAAACATGGGTACCAGGACCAATGTGCTCAAAGAGAAAAATATTTATAAATATATTCTTATGGACTTGAATTAGGCCCTTCCAAACTTTCACGTCTGTAATTGTATATGTTCACAGTAGAAAACGAGCAAGCAGAAAAGATCAAAGAATAGCACTAAAAAATGAAAGAGCTGAGGCAGTACTGGGGTGATGCAGAACAAGGAAGCGCTCCACTGACATGTCACTAGTTAGATATGGGAGAGAATAAGGATTTTAATAACTGCAAACAGAAATAACACCCACCAAGGAAACCTGGTGGGGAAAAAAAAAAAAAAAAAAAAGAGAGAGTTTTTGAAATAATCCCTTCAACTACAGCCACTTCTTTGTTCAAAAACATTCAGGGAAGATCATATGAGTTGGCCGAGGAGCAAACACACAAAAAAAAGAACCTACATCTAAGTCACCCAATCTGGAGTAGCAATTGAACTCCAACCTTTCTGGAGTAGAAAATTCACCCAAATGATTTGGTGAGATTTCTACTTTCCTTCAGAGTGAAATGCTGACTCCACACAGTCATGGTAATCATCAAGCAGAACTATAACACCAACTGTAATGACACAGTGACCTTAGATCACCTAGGAAAGGTTACGGCCACAATCTAGTAATAAGAAAGGAACCACTCACTCCTTTCTGAGGATCTAGGCTCACTGAACACTTCAAAGGAGATGATTTCCAAGCAGAGATATTTCCCTTGTGCCTGCCAGCCTTTCCATGAAGTTAGGGAAGAGTGAAGCCAGAGTCCAACCCTTCTGGTCACACGGATGAATTGCTTCCTCCTGTGCTCCCAGGACTGGCTATGCCCCTTCACTAGGTGCTTAATCATTGGTTCAGGCTGTGACCTAACACTTCACATAAAGACGCATACATTAAAATGCAAAGCATGACATGTTCACCATGCTAGCTTACAAAGGCAAGAAAGGCAGGAAAATAACAAAAGGATGAAAGTATCCCAGAAAGCAAGAAAAGAAAGCACAAACCAGCAGAAGAAATATTGTAGAGTTATGGCTTGAAATAAAAATTGATGCAGATAATATGTTCAGTGTATCTTCTATCATATACCATTCAGATTATTTACTCTGTCAGCACACTGAACGGCATACTGAAGTATATCAACCACATTGTAGTGAACAAATACCTCACAGATTATATCATATTTGTTTTTTATCTTCTGAAGCTACCAAGTTTCCAGAATCAAACTTTTGCCAACTAATCTTTTTTTGTTGTGTGTTTTTAATCAAGAACAATCAGTACATCTCTCTCTACAGGAGTTCATTTGTTATACTACAAAAAAAAAAAAAAAAGAGAGAAAACATCTATTTTCCTATGTGACTTGCAAAAAAGAGTTTCCAAGGGGAGAAACCAGTTACAAAATTCAGCTTCAGAATAATCTCCCATGGTAAAAGGGTAAGCCACTCTGTGTCATGCTGCACTCAAGTAGTTAACAGTTAAGCACAATAGCCAAAACTATTTTCCCACACTCTTTTTCACACACGTACAAAGCTAAAACACTGACGAAATGTGGTTGTTTAAAACAGCAGAAAACACAAAAAATACCAGTACACCTTCATGCAAATCAGTGTATTTATCAGTAGTACTGCAAATGCTACACTGGGTTTTTGGGTTTTTTTTCTCAATTGTATTTCAAAGCACATGAAAATAAATAGCTGGAAAAAAAAAAAAAAAAAGAAGCTTTTTTTTTTCTTTTCAACATGATTTTTCTATTATTTCCCTTACTTCATCCCACAGAAATAAGATGATTCTGTTTCTAAACAGAAGTCAAAAGACATCTTGGAAGCAAACTGTAGTTTTCAATGCCTTTCTGAGCAAACCTACATCTAAACACAATGTAAAAATTAACATTAATGATTATCTAAATTCTCAGGCTTCTAAATTTATTTTTTAAAGGTTCCAATCTCAAGACTATGCATTTCTAAAAAAGACCAACTCAAAATCTACTACAGCAACAGAACCTCAGCTGATGGATCTATTCTGAACTCAGTTTCCGGGGCAACATCTTAGAAAAAGTTTCTAGAGGTTTGGAAAATTAAACAGCTGTGAAACCCTTGGTCAGGAGAGCAGGATACTACACATAAGGAGTATCATTAAACTTTCACAAAGAAATAGCTACCGCAAAATACTACTGCAAATATTTCCTTTAATACATGTTACACTCCTGGGCCATTCCTTCTCTCTCATCTTCATAAATAAAGCCCAACCATGTACATATTCCAAAGTATGCACACTTATGAGAATCAGCTGAAAGGATTCTGTGACAGATGCCATGTTGGTAATAAAGATAATTTAAGAACCTGCTCAATTTTAGATAAGAACACCTATAAAGCAAGCAGAATTCATGTCTGCATTCAGATGACACTCTTCAGGGATGGTGAATGAAAATAGCTGCAATTTCAGACCATTGTGACTCATCCCTTTTACACAGCAGTGCACACAGAACAATGGGTTAGTATCCAAAAATACAGAACTACTTCCAAGCAAACAGAGATAGCCACACACCTCTACTTTTTTTCTTTCACAAGTACACAAATTATTATCATCTCTTGCCATCAACTCCTAATCAGGTTTCAGAACTGGACACTTTCCACTCCCAAGAATGCCCTGCCCAACTACAGTCCATTGACAGACTGAGTGAAATTTCTAGGTTTGCACTTAATACAGGTGAGAAACAGAATGAGAACATGTTTTCCTGAATAGCAACAAAGTCTAGAAAGCTTCCCTTTTGAAAGAAGTCATAAATATTTTCAGTTTCCTGACCATTTCAAGGGACAAAGTTTAGAAACACTCCACAAACCAGGTATTAGAGAATTATTTAATAAATGTGTGAGAATTCATGAATTCCACTCCATTTGTTAAGCATATTTGGTAATCACTGGTTCAACTGAAATGCATGCAGAACTGTGAGGCGTTTCAAATCTCCCCAGTATTTCCCTATCCCCTGCAAGGGTAAGGCTTGTTACTCAAGAGTGGACTCCAAAACTTGCACAGTACAGATTTTTACGGTAATGAGGTCAGATAATTCTGGAGGGGCAAAAACAAGAGGAACAGAACTGCTAGGAAAATGCAGTCTACATAAACATCAACAGCAGTTTGAATTAGAAAACAAACAGACCTCACAGTTGATTCTTCAGTGGACATTAAACTAATGTGGATTACCACTCCTGAACAGTATACCAACATCCACAATGCTTAATTCAGGCATAAGCCTGAGTAAGTTGTGCCATTATTTGTAGCTGAAACAGAAACACAGTTGCACAGTTTTCCTTTTAAGGTGTAATTTCAGGAAGAGATGAGCAGTTTTTACTTCTTGACCAAAAAAAGCTCTGTTTGTAATACAAAGAATTTGTGTAGAAAACATATTTCCAAATTACCTTCTCAGTACTATTTTAGTAAGTAGATCTTAATTCCTCTTTGCTGCAGAATTGTTCAAAGTTTGAGGTGACAAATAAACTTCAGAAAACGACACTTTTTTCTTGGCTGGCATTTGATAGCGCACGTTTTTCCAGAATCTTGTATTTGCTGAACAAGATTTCTCTGAGAAATCTCCTTTCCACTGGATTGCCCCATGCTTTTGCTTAATATATCTGATTGATTCTGGCATGCTTGTGTAGTCCTGCATTCCATCCATTTCTATAAGAATCACTTGAGTCTCATCACGGATAAGAGCACTATACAAAGCTAATTGCTGTTCAGAGGCGTCTTCCAACTGGATGCAACTAAATGTTTCAGATCCCAAAATAATCATCAGTCTTCTGCTTTGCTTGAAGGTTTCATCAGCAATGCTGACCACAGCTGGAAGTAATGAAGCAACAATCAAAGTTTGTATAGAAAGTTTATTTTAAACACAAAGTACTGCACCATCTTTAAATTGCATATATATAGAAGAGTGATTAGCTCACAGAACTGGAAGGTCTAAGATCTCCAACTGCCATAATCCATTGCACGAAATCACTGAACGAAAATGTTTCCTGCACTTCCCAGGAAGAATTATTATTCAAAAGACCTCAGCAGTATTAATAATAATAATAATAATAGTAATAATTTTACAGAGTAGAGTACTGATTTGCTTTCCTTAGAAAGAAAGAGCAGATCCTACCATTATAACAGAACAGAAATTTGATTCAAAAATAACAAGAAAACTAGAAATAAGTTGGCCATCAGATAAGAGATCTAATTTTCCATTAAAAACAAATAAAAAAGAACCTACAGTTTTGAATTTGGTTCATAATAATAAACGTTTTCTCAGTAGTAAATATAATCTTTTAACCCTAGAGCAATGTGTAAAAAAAGCAATGTATCAACTCTGCTAATTAAATCATACCTTCTCCTGGTAGGTCATCCCTTCCTAATATAAAGAGATTATATCCACACTGTTGCTCTAAAACGTTGGGGAGTATTCTAAGAACAAAGGTTTCCAGACGATAGAAGTTGCTGCCTTCACAGCCTTTTGTGTACAGGACACATGCATCGTAGATTTTTCCGTCTAATACAAACAAAAATATTTCTGTTAAAAACTAAAAACCATTCTATATTGCAAAATTTCATTTTGGATTACTTAAAATATCACAGAATCACAGAATGGCCAGGGTTGGAAGGGACCTCAAGGATCATGAATCTCCAACCCTCTGCCACATGCAGGGCCACCAATCTCCACATTTAATACTAGACCAGGCTGCCCAGGGCCCCATCCAACCTGGCCTTGCCTTCGGGCATCCACAATCTCTCTGGGCAGCCTGTTCCAGCATCTCACCACTCTCTCTGTAAAGAACTTCCCCCTGACATCCAGCCTAAATCTTCCCTCCCTCAACTTAAAATCATTTCCCCTTGTCCTGCTGTTATCTACCCTTTCAAGGAGTTGATTCCTCTCCCTTCTGTAGGCTCCCTTTAGGTACTGAAAGGCTGCAATGAGGTCAACTCACAGCCTTCTGTTCTCCAGGCTGAACAAGCCCAGCTCCCTCAGCCTGTCTTTGTAGGGGAGGTGCTCCAGTCCTCTGACCATTTTTGTGGCTCTTCTCTGGACCCTCTCCAACAGCTCCCTGTCTTTCTTGTACTGGGGCTCCAGACCTGGACACAGTACTCCAGACGGGGCCTCACAAGAGCAGAGTAGAGGGCAACAATCTCCTCCCTGTCCCTGCTGGCCACTCCTCTTCTGATGTTATAATAGTTGATTCATAGCTGTCTGGCAGAGTAACAGCAAAGCACTAAAATGCTCTACAGATTAAAAGAAAGAAGATGAGCCACAGAACCTGATCTCTTTTCCCATCATGGGGAGTAATGTGCCAGCAAGAGAGCTGGATGTAGGACCTTGGCGGCTGCAGAAAGGAGCCCCCAGACTGAGAGGAACCAACACATTCATAGTCACAGAATGGCCTGGGTTGAAAAGGACCTCAAAGACCATCTAGTTTCAGTCCCCCTGCTATGGACAGGGTCAACAACCAGTAGACCAGGCTGCCCAGAGCCAAACTTAGTAAGTTAAGTTTGGGACAAATTATAAAACATCGTTTCTTTGATCTATTTTTCATTAGAAAAATAGAGCAAGTTTTCTAGGAAAACTTGTCTTTTGTTAAAAGTTGAAATGACTTTCATGTGAAAATATTTCAAACTGCCATGAATAAATGTTAACTATATCAATGCACATAATCCGTTCACTTTTGAGCTCTTGGGAATTTGAGACAGTCTAATTCTGAGGGCTGCTCAAGCACAAAACATATTATGTTGCACTTATTTCCATCATTCGCAGTAGCAGTACAACTGCTACAGTAGAAAAACATTAGAAGTATCACAGAATAGAAAACTAGTAGAATGTAACCATCATAAGTTGCTGGATTTACATTTAAAGTTATGTGTAAAAGAGAAAAGTTGGAAGAGGAAAAAAAACACCTTGGCAAATGAAAGTTTCATTTTCAATGTAAATATCTAATGTGCATTTTTCTACAGCTAGTCTACAGGATGTAGCTCTGCTGACACCTATTGACCACCATCAGTGTGGCCATAAATCTACACACAAACAACTTTCTTTGGAAGAAATAGGTGGTTCTTTTTGACCTTAACCTTTTTCTCACCTTAAGTGCCTTAAATATTATGTGTTTGGATTACATATTTCACCTATGTGAATGAAAAGATCTTTCCATACGTATCTGAAACTTCTCAAAGAAATTCAAAATACATTCCATTAAATAATCATATGATTGTTTGGGAGTAATAGCAAATGGAAAAAAAAAAGAAATAAAAAGCAATAGGCTAGTTATACTGACATGCATTGATTACATGCACATACCTTCCTTACTTACAAAGGCACATCCAGAATTACGATACCAAAGCACCAAGTCGATCTTGAAAATCTTATAGATGATCAGAATAATAAACGTTAACAGTAAGAAAGAGACAAACACTCCAGTCAGCCATCTTTGTACATCAGGAACTGCACAAAATATGGTAAGAGTAGAAAGAAAATGTTGGATTTGTCCAGATCTGAACTTTCACACAAATGTAATATACATTTGAGTATCACATTTTTCACTTCCACCTCACTATTATTTTAATAGATAAATACACTACTACAGTGACTCTTCCCCTCCACACATCTACATGCTTAAATACAGGAAAGTGTAATCCATGCACCTTCTATTGATGTGATATACGAGCATTTGGAACCAAGACCACAATACTTCTACAAATGCCAAGTCAACCACAAGCCAGAAAAAACAGCATTATTCCTTACCTCTGTGTTTTAATATAATATAGGATGCAACCTGTCCAAAGGCATTTGAAGCTTGACAGATGAATGGTTGTTCATAATCTTCACTATGCACTTCTGAAATTATGAGCTTCACAGAATACATAGGGCGTCCATCGTAAGCAGTTTCCTCGCTATCCAAAAAGTGACAAACAGAGACATAAAACCACGCCTTTCTATAAAGGTTTCATCACTAACAGGTGCAACATGACAATGGTCATTTCCATCTGCAAATACCAATCACACTTCAGAACAGATGAATAATTGCATTATGTGAGGGAAACCCAATGGTCTCTATGGGCTACAGTACAAAAAACATATCTTACAAACCTATCTTGCAAACCCATCTTGCAGGGGGTTCTCAGCATCTGTAAAAGTAGGTGGAGCATCCCAGTGCTTGGTGGAAGAGAAGTTCCACAATCTGAAATGTTTAAAAAAAAAGAAGCCCCAGTACAGGGGCAGAAAAAATGCTAATTTTGCTGCACATTCACTGAGTAATCTGCACTGAGTCTCATGTCTGATGTGCAAAATACGTGACTTTTTAACCAGCACCAAACGAGAGATGTTACTACCTCGTTAACAGTACAGCTCATATGCAAAATTAACTAACTAGTCTACTTAGCGAAATGCTTTTCTTCTCCAAAAATGTACTCTAATTACCATTAAAAATGCAAAGTAAAAACTTGAAATAAATCATAAAGAGCATATATAGAGCATGTGTAAGATCACACAAAACAATGTGTGAGCAACAGGTCACACATTGTGACCTGTTGTATCACAAGGAGCTACAAGATATGATTTAGTGGCTTGTGGTAGCAACGGTAATGGGAGGATGGTTGGACTAGATGATCTTGTAGGTCCTGTCCAACCTTGTGGTTCTATAGTTCTCTGATTCTAGGTCATAGTAGTTTGAACACTAGTATAGGGAGTAAATGAATCAACATCGTTAATACAAATGACTAGACCCAGAAAATATTATGGCTACAAATACAATAAGACAATATTTTAAGTACTAACATAATTATGATAATATTGTAAGACAATCATTTAAGTGCTAGGAAATAAAATAAAATAAAATAAAATAAAATAAAATAAAATAAAATAAAATAAAATAAAATAAAATAAAATAAAAAAAACATTGTTTTTATGATACCATTAGTGACTGCATGCCTCTGCAATAATAGCCCAATTGTTTATAACATTACAATATATGACTTTTGTATAGGGTTTTCTCTCAGCGAGCATTAAAAGAATTCAGCATTTTATTCCCCTTTTGTTTTATGATGAGGACTTATTTATTTCTACAAACCATAATCTTACGTTGAAGATACCATTCCCATTTCTCCCTCATAGATGCTGCTTGAAAACTTTTATAAAGTGCTCATATTTTTCCTTCATAGTATCACCAGGAGACAAGGGCTGACAAAAGCTATAGTTTTCAGTTCCCTGGTTCCCAACCACTGATACCTTTTCAGATTGCCTTCTGCTCCAACTGTAAATTGTCTTTTCCAAGTCAAGTCTAATTTCTTTCCCTCCTAGCTCTGCTTAAACTACCTTTCATCCTCACATTATCTCCCAGTTGCTTTATGCAGTTCATGTCCTCCAAGTCTTCCTCCTAAATCCCAACCCATCACTGCAAGTATCTCATCCTTTTCTCCTCTCAATCCACTAAGCTTCAGTACAAATGTCCTCAACAAAGTCTTCTATTAGCTCTCCATCTAATCTCAGTTACACTTCCCTATCTCAAGGCTCTTAAAACTAGAAATCTAAAGTTCTCCTGCAAAGCACAGGTTCCACCTCTTACAGCCTCCCAGACAGACAGCTGGGAAAAAAAAAAGGAGAACACAGGAGATAGTCTGAACCTCACATGTTCAGTCTCACTTGAAAGAAGTCTCTGCCAGTCTAGAGCTTGCTCAGTAGAAACAGTATTATAGTTATGAGAAACAGTATTATAGTTATGAGACCATAAGCCTCTACGGAATACCTTTTTCCATGGCTGGAAATTCAGACAGATTTTTATAATGACTCTAAGAAGCCCAATTTCATGCATCCATGCACCTACTATGTTTTAAGTTTCTACTTCAAAAAGAAAATGAATTGGTAGAGGCAAGCATTGACATGAGTCAGAGGGAGAAATTTCCACTTTTGTTGCCAACCCAGTATTTTCTAATCTGAAAATGTACTTACTTATTGGGCTTTGCAAAAATTCTGCTCACATAAAACACATCAATGTACACACCGTTGCCTGTCCAAAACACCTCAAACCCATCAGCACCAGTTGTATTGCAATCCACTGTGACCAGTGAACCTATAAAATTGTATTACAAAGTGAAAAGTTAATTTTCATGCTCTAATTAAAAGCTATGCAATTCTGTTTATAGATCCCCACTCAGACCACAGGATGGTCCCACAGCCTTTCAGAAATGTTCCTCTAACAGAGTGTCTATCCATTCAGTAATCTGCATGTTCAAAGAGACTGATATTACAGAAGCCAAATCAGGGGCACAGCATCTCCCTCTACAGAGTCACTTTTCCCTGAAGTTTTTCTGCAGCTTTGGAAGGAATACTCCTTGTCTCCTTCCTTCCCACCATGAAACAATCTTCCTTTGAGAAAGTAATGTAAAGGAGAAAATGAGCTGGTCACTGAATTAGTTTTTGCCCAGACAAAACAAACACACAATGTGGCACTCTTCTTGAGCAAGAATTTTCACTAGGATACAAAATAATATTTTCTTATAGTGAAAAGTACTTACCAAGTTCCACTTCAATTGAATTGTTCTGTGGATAAGATATTTCTGGGGGCATTTTTGGTGGGCTCACTAACCAAAAGAAAGAAAGTTATTTTCAGAAAAGCAGGAGTGATTGCACCCTGTTAATGCTGCACAACCCAAGGGCAACCTAAACACATATTGCCCTACAGACAGGGTTGTCAGCAATTTTACTACAGACATCATTCGATATTCAAATCAAGAGTTTTGAAGATAGTCTTGTTACTTCTGAGTAGAAGCTCTGTCAGATATCTATAGGACTTTCTGGAATACTTCTTATCAGATATTGAAAGCTCAAGGAAACTTCTCTATGCACACACATCAACAAGAAAGTCATAAAGCATCCTGATGTGAAACACAGATTGCCACAGATACATCCCTCCCTTCCTCCTCTTATAACTGTCTCTGTGTTATTGGTTGGACCACAAATCACCCATTTTAGTGCAAACTTGCTCAGCTGAAGTCTTTGAGCAACTGAGATGCTTTCAGGCATTAACAGCAAAATTATATGTTTGAGTTATATGTCTGCTTTAGTGAGCTGCTGAAGCTGAAACTACACTGAGAGAGAAGTCTAAAGGGCAGGTTTTAAAAAACAGCCAGCCATAAGTCAGTCACTTCTGGCTATCTATTCCTCATATTTTGTTTATTCACATCATATAAACATGACATTTATATCACATATTCACAACACATAAATATAGATACATATATATGTAAACATACATACACATACAGAGAAAACATGCACACACAAAAACCAGAACATCAGGTGGGAAAGCAATAGATGAGTAGACCTGAAAATGTGTTTCAGTGGGAATGTAAAAAACTATACAAAAAATGAAGGACATAGAACACATTAAACCAAGATATCACTACAGTTTGTCTTGGTTTAACTGGTTGCTCTTGTGGTAAGGGGATGATGTAAAAGAGAGAGAAGTAAGATGGGCAGGATAGAGCAGGTGTAATGGGACCCATTTAGGGACCTCAGCAGCTGGCCCATTAACCAAAGCGCTGATGTACTGCAATTCTGATCCCATGTTCAATCACGAACACAGTAACAACAGAAAAACTTCAGCAAGCATTTCTTTTCATCTAAGTAAGGGGGAAAGCAATAGCCTACAGCTTACCTATACACAAATTGAATTTTTAGCTGCAATTAGAAACCTGGACAAAATTTTGGAGAGTCACAGTGAATTTATCTACTTACCTTCTACAATCAATCTTATGTCTCGTGCAATGTCATATTGCTTTCCATTATAGGTATATGTTGTTTTGCATGTATAGTTTCCTTGATCTTGCACAGTCACATTGAAAATCACAAGGTCACTGTTTAAGAAGGCAAATCTTTTTCCTTCCAGTAGCTGACAGTCCTAAACATACAAAGAACTCTGTTAATTCATGTCACTTTCCATAGTTTGTCTCTCTTTAACATATCAAACTCTCAGTGGACCACAACATAGGGATGGATGCCTTGTGGAGTGGGAGGAAGAGGAAGAGGGCTGGAATCAAAAGGAAAACATGCTTTGTTTTGGCTCTGAGTTTTTAATTCACAGATACACCTATACATTTCCTACAGAAAAAAAAAAATGAGAGATGTAAGGAAATGTGATATAAGGGCCAGGATTTTAAAAGTATTAATTGACAAAGAATTACTCAATAATTAAACTTTATTTTTTCAAGTACTTAAATATAGTACCTTAAGGACTGCACAAGCACAAGAAGAAGGCAATACATTCTTAACAGAACAAGACTTTAAATACTTACGAACCACATGAAATAACATTTATTTGATGGAGCAATACTGAATGCACAGTGGATATGCTGTCCGTCACAAATTACATACTAAATCCGTTTCCAAACAAAAGAAATGGATGTTTTGCTAGCACGTATAAAGGTGCCATCTAGTGGATATACGGGTTAACATTTCCTACTAAATGTAGGAACTGAATTTCTACTCTGCTACTCAAAAAAAAAAAAAACTGTATACACCTTTACAAGGTGAAATGCCTTAATTCCCTCATCCAATTTTTTTTAAAGCTTTTTTTCTTTAACATTTATAATAAATCTGTAATTTTTCTACTACAATTCATAAACATCAGTTGCTTGTATTTTAAATAACTGACCACTGTGACAGTTCTAATCACTGGAACAGGTTGCCCAAGGAGGCTGTGGATGCCCCATCCCGGCAGGCATTCAAGGCCAGGCTGGATGTGGCTCTGAGCAGCCTGGTCTGGTGGTTGGTGACCCTGCACACAGCAGGAGGTTGAAACCAGATGATCATTGTGGTCCTTTTCAACCCAGGCCATTCTATGATTCTGTGATAAAACGGGCTGTTTTTACCTTATACCAATGAACAGGTAGATTATTTTCCTCATTCCTGAAGTGATCCAAGTGTGGACACACAAGCTTTGCAGATGACGAAGTGAATACCACCTCCTCTACAGCAAATTTTTCATTTAAGCATAAGCCATTGGTCCTCTCAAAAACTGTTACTTCTGTAGACATTTTGCTGCAGCTTGTCAAATTTCTGCAACTAATATAACATAATTAAATTAAATTAGATACTTGAAATATTTTCCAACTTGAAAATACACAGTATTCTTTTTGGAGGAGAAAGAGAGGGCCAGAACTGTACAAATCCTTTTACAAGTTTTACCAAGTAGAGAAAAAAAAAAAAAAAGCACTTCCATTCCCCAACATAAAGTCAGTTTTAGTGAACATACTCTCTCAAATAGCATTTCTCTTGCCCCCAAGCCCTATTTTCTTTCTAAAAGTTATTCTCTTTGCAACACATTTCTATAGCAATTTAATTTTTTTAAGCTTCACCTTATGACACATTCATAATTTCCAGAATCTTCTAATATTGCAGGGAGAAACCAAATTAAACTCTTCTGCTGATGAATTCTAGAAAGTTTGTCTCTAGGCACTGCAGTTTGGTTACCAACTTTATACCATGTTAAGTTGCAGTCTCCACTTTTAAAATTGAAGCTCTTTTCCAGTGAACATTTAATAACAAGAGGCTGCCCATCAGGCACAAGACTATGCTTGAACATCACATCATAAGCTCCGCATTTCTCTAAGGGAAAGAGATAAACATTAAAGAAAATCTCAAACAGTGTGAAACAAAACACTGAACTTGCTTCTTGATCATACTTGCAAAGTGCATTGAGTTTCCACCTTCATTCTTAAGTCATCTAACAATACTGTCTCAACCTTGTGTCTTCGGAGTTCAAAGCATTATTGAATAATATACTGATATAGTTACGCCATTGAAATGAAATGCTGTTTTCTGAATATAAACTTCACACTCAACAGGATCTCTTTGTTTGCATAGACTATCATTTGTCTGCTTTATTTCAGATGTATATGATTAAGGTACTCGTATTTCTCCAGGCTGTTCCAAGAACACACACATGTGGATGCACAAATTTCATATTCAGTGTCTTTATTTATTACTTTCACTTATCTATAGTTGAAGTGAATCCTGCAGTACTCAGATATCCTAAGGGGACACAGAAAGTTAAAGTTCTAGTTGCACAAATCACAGAATCACAGAATGGCCAGGGTTGGAAGGGACCTCAAGGATCATGAATCTCCAACCCCCCTGCCACATGCAGGGCCACCTCCACGTTTAATGCTCAACCAGGCTGCCCAGGGCCCCATCCAACCTGGCCTTGAACACCTCCAAGAACGGGGCATCCACAACCTCTCTGGGCAGCCTGTTCCAGTACCTCCACACTCTGGGTAAAGAATTTCCCCCTGATGTTCGACCTAAGTCTTCCCTCCCTCAACTTAAAACCATTTCCCCTCGTCCTACACATATCAACCCTTTCAAAGAGTTGATTCCCCTCCCTTCTATAGGCTCCCTTTAGGTACTGAAAGGCTGCAAATATTAAACTTGCAAATAAAATTTCAACTCACCCCTTGCTTCATGAGAAATCATTCAAATGCTTAGCAATGAACTCATTTTCTTTCCCTGAATCCAGGAAGATTTACAAGGGAAAAAGCAACACCAGGAGATTTTGTCAGTACAATGAAAATAGGCACCAACTGTAGATATACTGATCACATTCCAGAGTCAGTACTCTCACTTCATTACAATAGAAGAACAACCAGACATGGCCATCAAAGTTTTTGTGCAGCCCAAAATTCTTGCCTTCTAACATTTCACTGGAAATCATGCATTTCTTGTTATGAGAAATGGCAACCTAAGCATTCCCTTATTTGCCTTCTCTGTAGTATTAATTATTTTTCAAACCTCTATCAGATACCACATCTTTACCTCAGACTCTTCATTTATTTAATGACATCTCATACAGAGGCCATCCACTTCAAAGAATATTGTCACTCATCTCTTTACTTCCTCTTAACATAATCTTTCTGAGATGGAATAATCAGAATTGTAGTTTAATTGCTGCACATTAACTATGGTGTTATCCTGTAGCATAAAAAAGCTTCACTTTCTACTCTTTCCCAAGAATTCTGGTTTTCTTTTTCTTTTCATCATCAGTGAAGATAGAGCTAATGCTTCCAGAGAGTGTTCATACATGTCAAAGTACCATTCTCCTCAACTACTATCAGTACCTGAAGGGGGCTGACAGAAAAGCTGGGGAGGGACTTTTTACAATGACATGTAGCAACAGGATGAAGGGAAATGGTTTTAAATTGGAAGAGAGTAGATTTAAACTAGATATTAGGAAGGAATTCTTTACTGTGAGGGTGGTGAGACAGTGGAACAGGTTCTCCAGTGAGGTTGCAGATGCCCCCTCCCTGAAAGTATTCAAGGCCAGGCTGGATGGGGCTTTGAGCAACCTGGTCTGAGGTGTCACTGCCTATAGCAGGGGGTTGAAACTAGATGATCTTAAAGGTCTCTTTCAACCCAAACCATTCTATGATTCTAAGAAGATCAGAATTACAATTCCTTTAATCAGTTCATACACCAGAAGGTTACATTGTCATTCAGAGGAATCTCAACAGGCTGGAGATATGGGCTCAGAGAAACCTCATGGAAATTTAACAAAGGGAAATGCAAAGTTTTGCATATGAGGAGAAATCCCCCAGGCACCAGCACACACTGGAGACTACCCAGGAAAGCAGCTGACCATAAGCCAGCAACACTCCATTACAGTAAAAATGGCTTAAAAGTGTCCTGAGCTGCATTAGGAAGAGAATCATCCAAAGGATGAAGGAGACCAATTTTCCTTCATTTAGCACTGGTGAGACAAATCTGGAGTGGGACTTCCAAGCATAAGACATGGTTTTACTGGAGTGAATGCAGCTCAGGGCCACCCAGATTATTAGGAGAGTGGAACTCTTTCAGACAAAGGCAGGCTGAGAGAGCTGGAACTGTTCAGCCTGGAGAAGATGATCAATAGCGGAACAGATCCTTATCAATGTGCAAATGTATACCTCTGATGAAAGAGAATGAAGAAGAGGGAGCCAGATCCTTCACAGCAGTGCCCCCTGACAGGACAAGATACAAGGGGCTTACATTGTGAGATTCCATCTGAACACAAGAATTTTATTTATTTATTTATTTATTTATTTTTTTAACAGAGGTTGATCGAACACTGATGTTCTCAAGAGGTGTCTTCCAACTTAAGTGTTATGTAGTTGCTACACATAATGTCACATTTTACATGTTTTATAGGCTTCTGCTTTCAGAACTCTTTAAAAAACCTCACTGACATGCACAACCATTTGCACAAAACAAACAAACAAACAACAAAACAGTATTACTTGTGTGAAAAATTAAATTTCAGAATAAGACATTCTGTAGTCACCAATTAACTCACCTGCAATAATTAAAGAAAGAAATGCTGTTGCGATCTTACAGGAAAGTATTTTTGCTGTCATTTTTCCCTACAGAAAAGGAAAGAAACTCTTAAATTAGTGCTTTCCAAGATAAACTTCCACAGAATGAAAATCCACATGTGCATTACAGTTTCTACTACCAATTTGGTGTCTTTTATAAACTGTACTTTTCTTACACTAGGCTTTCAACATGAGTTACATGGTGTAGCATAGTAAAAGGAACTATCTGCCTCACAGGAAAACACAATCACAGAGCAAAAGCAACAATTACAGAGCAATCCCACTACAAAACATGTATTTTCTTAGAACTGGAAAGCTAACTTCTGAGTGAACATAAAGGGGAAGTATATATATGTACATCTGTACCAGCAACATCAAAGCCTCCTCTTAAAGCAGCATTCTATGTCAAGTTGTGGTCAATAGCAGATGACTTGAGAACAAAAGTGCAAAAGAATGAGAATATACAGACATTCCTCAGAGTCTCCCTTACTTCATCAATTTATGACATTGCAGTTAGTTTCTCAATAGCTGGTAGCCCTCAGTAGATTCTTTCCCAAGAATGTAGTGTAACACCCTCTGAGCTCAGAAACATCATTTGGCAAAGAGCCCTGAAGTTCATATACTGACACAGAAAACACAGGAACAGCCTTTGCTTATTTTGAGCATGTTACCTGCTCATCTCACCTGACAGCCCCCATTTATTGTACTAGAAGAATGAAGAAAAAAAAATGAGTGAATATTTCCTATTGTGCATGTCACACACTTGGGATTTTGTACATCTCCAGTAAGCTTCTCCCCAGTTCTTGTTTCCCTGGGCTCATCTCAGTCTCTTTAACTGACCCTTAAATGGAACTTGATTTCACACTTCTGGTCATCTTTACCATTCTCTTCTGTATCTCCCTGGAGATCTCCAGAAGCCACCTGGATGGAGGCCTGGGCACTCTAATGTGGGTGGCCTAGCTGAAGCAGAGGTTGGACGAGGTGACCACCAGAACTCCTTCCCCACCTCAACTATTTCCAGTTCTCCAGGTACACCACAGCTTGTCTGAGAGGAGGAAGGGAGACCAGAAATGGCATCCAGTCTTCAAAATATTTGTGCAGTACAGATCAATAAAGCAAATCTATGATGTATTCTATACTACTTCATAATAATTTATCAACACTTTTGCTAGTTCCATTTTCACAAGTTTCCACACAGCTACCTGCTGCAGATACCTATTTTTTTTTTACACGACTATAAAAGCAAAAACGCAGTCATTCAAATTGAAGAACAATCTGGACAATCCTGTCCTATTAAAAATCTTCACCAGCTATCACCAGCTAAAGATGACACTTCCAGCTGCTGTGTCTTTCTTCACAAAACTGACTCAGGAGCATGCCACATATTGAGTCATACTCACTGCTTCTTGCAGTGTCTGCTTTCCTTCTTCCCCTTCTTTTCCCTACCTCCTCGCTGCAAATTTCTGCTCTAATTACCAGGCACGTCATTTCTTGCTTAGCTCATAAGGAGGGGTGTTGTCCCTCAAAAGAATGCTGAACATAACAAGAAACACACTAGGCTCCAAATCGCTAGAGGGAGTTCACGTGTGTTTGTACAAAAACTTTCTTCACGAATTGTAATGGACAATAATCCTTAGATTTTCTATACTTAAATTTTAAAGAAGATGACAATGCTTTAATGGAAACAGGTTAAAGAGAAATTAGGACTGAATTGACTTCAGTAATGACCAGGTATTGTCTTTATAACTTTTTCATTATCAGCTCTTCAAAAGTTCTGTTTATTACTGTGTTACTTTACTTTATCGTTCTTCCTCAAATTCTTTCCCAAGCAGTTTTTTTCCCCCAAGAGTGGACATGGAAACTATACAAAAGTAATATTTTTCCATGTTCTGAAGAACTATTCTTCAGAATCTATTTCTCTATAAATTCTGTTTCTTTCTAAATACTTCAATTTTTAACTTATCTAGTTGCCAACACAGAATTGCTGCAAATACATAGCACTATGTAAAACCAGTCAAATGAACTCTTCTGAGGAGACCCACACTTGTATCTGACTTTTCATAAAGAAAAAAAATCATATATATGGAAGTTACAAATGACAAGAAAACTAGGCTCTGCTCTGTACATCTCTTTGCATAAGTCATAATGAAAAAAACTATGACTGCAGAGTCAAGTGAAAATGTCTTACCCACCATATTCTGCCATGACAAAGAGATAAATATCTTCCTTTTCTCAGCCATTTTGTCCACATCTTGATCCTGCAATTGACTTACACAGCTTTATTGTTCAGGATAGCAACCAGTTGGTGCTACCTTTGCCCAAATTTTCCAGAGGAGAAAAAGCTCCTTGTATCCAAGGCCATGCCCACAGAGTTTCAGCCTGGAAGAAAAAAATCTCATCAGTTGAGGCAAAGAGAGGGAAAAAAAGGTCTCTGTTGATGTATGCAACTGAATTACAATGACAGCATACATGACAACAGATGTAAAGCAAAATTTTCATAAAAATCTGAGACTAAGTTAGTATAGCCACCTGTTCCTCTGCTGTTTAGTCCTTTCAAAGTCGATCTGTTCAATTAAAAAAGAATGAAGAAAAAAGAAAAAGAAGCAAGACACCTGTTTCATTACAACTTTGGCTCTCAGGAACTGCTGCACACTTAAGGTACTTTGCCTTATTCAAACACATGGATAGATTAAAAAGTGCAACAATCACAAGTTGTTGCACAAACAAGTCCACAACCTCTTGGCAGCCTGTTTCGGTGTCTGTCACCTTTACCATGAAGAATTTCTTATGCACATTTGTGTGGAGCTTCCTATGCTTCAGTTTGTGGCCGCTTCCCCTTTTCCTATCACCACACACCACTGAAAAGAGAGATTGGCCACATCCCTTTGCCTCCCTCACCTTAGATATTTAGACATTGATCAGCTCCCCTCCGTTTTCTTTTCTCAAGGCTGATCAGACCCTTATCTGGGAGATGCTGCAGGCCTTTTATCATCTTTGCGGTGCTTTGCTGGACTCTCTCCAGGAGATCCATGCCTTTTTTGTACTGGGAAGCCCAGAACTGAACACAATGCCTCCAGGTGAGGCCTCATCAGGGCAGAGTAGAGAACTAACAGACATTTCTTTTACATAAATCATTCAACATGTGTACCTTATCCGCTTCTCTTGACTACTTGACTGCTGTGAGTCTTCACAAGAGCTTATCAAGCCTCTCCCCTCTAATACAGGAAAAACAGTCGTGACATACCCCTGTGTTCCTTCCCCACTGTTACACACACAAGAGCTGTCTCAGCACCCCTATACGGAGCCAGTTACAGAACTGAGGGTCTCACCCCCATCTACTTTTAGCCGTTATTCCATGAACCAGCGACACCCCATTACCACACGTGGATCTAAAACAACCCAGATCGGGATGGCAGCTTCCCTCCCGCCCAGCGCAATGACAGATTCCCACCTCGAAAAAGCCCTTCGGCTGAAGCCCCGCAGCTACCTACCTTCCGCTGGGCTCCCGGCCCTGCCGTACGGAGCTGATAGAGGCGGAAAAGCCCCGTGTCGCGGCAGCAGCAGCCGGAGAAACCTCCCTTACCCTGGCTGCGCTGGTGAGACGGCCCCGCGTCAGTTCTGTTTCCCTCCCCTCCCCGCCCGGCGTGCGATTGCCTCAGCTGCGATCTCAACAAGCCATCACTCGTTGATTTGCTTTCGATTTTTTTCTTTTCTTTTCTTTCTTTCTTTATTTATTCAGAGCTTACTAAGCTTGTTGCTGCCCTGGGAGCGCTGCACCAGTATTCTTCGGTTCTCTGCTTCACTCACGTACTGCTGCTGGAATAAGAAGCGTGAACAAAATCACATGGGCATTCTAACACTGTGCTGTTACTGACTGAGCGACCCAAAAACACACAGCAAGGCAGAGCAAAGGTTCCTCCCAACGAGCAGAAATCTGGGCTCTGTGGAACTGCCAAGACAGGTTCTCATCCCTGCTAGAAGTACTGTGTAAGCACGTTTGCTACGCCAGCTACAAAGGTCTCCGTGGAGAATAATCCTCTCCTACTCCTCCCTCCATGCTTTTTCAGGTACTATTTCTAAATTGTATTTACCAAATATAAACATAATCTAATCTGCCATCCTGCTCACCGCATGATAACCACAGATAAGAGTTTACGCCCTGCTATGCCTGCACATGTTGTCCTCCACCAAAGCAAGGGATGTGGTGTTAGAAGGAGGCACGCTGTGACACGTGCTGGATCAGTAGGCTGAGGCCAACTGTATGAGGTTCAGCAAGATCAAGAGCAGCAACCAGGTCCTGCGCTTTGGTCTCAGCAACCCTAGGCAACACTGCAGGCTTAGAGCACAGTGGCTGGAAGATTGTATGGAGGAAAAGGATCTGGGGATGCTGGTTGACAGCCAGCTAAACATGAGTCAGTAGTGTGCCCAGGTGGCCAAGAAGGACGATGGCTCTCGTGGTTTGTATCAGAAATAGTGCAGTCAGCAGGAGCAAGAATATTCACTTACATATGGGTGGGAAGGAAGCTGCCTGGCAGTAATGTTGGGTGGACACCATGTCCTGAACACCTGCTTGATTTACCCTGCAAAAATCAAGGTGATGCTTACTTGTATAGGTCTAACCTTGGGTACTAGCACAAGGCACTCTTGACCTTTGGAGTTTTTTTAGGGGTAGGGGAATATTTGTTTGTTTGCTTTTAAGACTTGTGACATTGGCAAGCAAATGTAATTGCTATTTTTAAAAAGGAAATTACAGAATTCTATACACTTTGTGTTATGTGGTGCTGGTAAATCCCTTCCACATGAAAAGAGACTATAGTCACACAGTATCTCTAAAGCACCCAGAAGAGTTTTTAGGGCAAAGCTATATAGTTTGTAGCCAATCACAGTCAACTATCTCTTTCTGAAAAGAAACTGAGCAGAGCAAATCTAAAGCTAGCAGAAGTTTAAAGCCCTTTATGTATATTTTTCTGCAACTTTAACCTTTGCTAAAGACATTCAGAATATCCTTACACATATGATAGTATAAACTTGTTGAGTCTACAGGAAAATATATCACAAAATGTCATTGCACTTAGTTACCTATATACGATTAAAGCTGCAGGAAACAGGCTTTCTTAATATCGTTCATCCAAACTCAGTTTATTAAGAATGTCAAAACTGTCTAAATGTTCTTTTATTGCTAAGCATGTGTAATTCCATTTTAATGAACAATTCCACAATGAGCAACCGGCTTAAGCATTTACATCCAATTTGCAGGAATATTTCTGCACTCATGGTGTGGTAATTAAACATCTTGCAGTTACAATTTATTCACTAGTAGAGCATAGAAAGTCATTTGTACTTCTGGTAAGTACATATCCAGTTTCTAACAAAGGAGCTGGGGCCTCTTTTTATAGCCAAATCTGTCCTTTTCTTCCCTCTCACAGAAAACAATTCATTGATTTTCATCCCTTCAACAAATCTACATCCTCTCTCTTTACCTGCACAAGTGTGAAGCTTAAAACTCACCTTGAGGAATCTGTTTTGGCAAAAAAACATTTCAGAATTGAGACATGAAACTAACAAGACCCATTTTCAAGCTCATAACCATGAGAAGTGACAAAAATAAGGCAGAGCTCATATTTAAGGTAAATTAAAACACTGAATAAGATGCGCTTTAGCTCAAAAATGCCCAGTTAAATAGGTCTTCAGTGCAATCAGAATGAAAAAAAGAATTACACGTGGCCCCAAAAACAATTTAAGCTTTCCACTTGCTTTGAGAAGAGTATTGGCAACTAGGTGAGAAGGCAGCAGAGCTAATAGAAATGAAGACACAATCCCAGAAATTATGATAACTAAGAAGAAAGCAAAATGCTAAGTTTTCCACATATTTCGCTCAGGGAGGCAAAACTATTTCTATCCCAAATTCTAGAGTAACCGACATATGGAATTACAGATCCAGCAGCAGTAATCTTTAATCTTTAATCTAGTAATCTTTAAAGACAGCAAGATCTGCTTCAAGAAACAGCATCTTTCTGTGGACCATCTAAAATAGGAGCAGACAAGCTTTTCAGCATTAAAAAAGTACGCACAATACAATTGAAGCACAGAAAAACATCTGACACCAAATAAATATTCAAAATTAATTTGTAAGGTGCAAGAAAATATATATCACTTAGATAGTTTAAAATAGGAATCCAATAACTGGAAAACAGAAATGGACTGTCACAGTGTTCAGTCACATCACGTTATGCTGGTTTTTATTCATCTTTGATATCCTTATCACTTTCATCTTGGAAATCAATTATCAAGATAGAGCAGGAAAAGCTGAGTTGCACTGCAAAACCTGACTGCAAGGCTGGTTGTGAAGCAGCTCATGGAAAGCTGGAGCAGATACTTTAAAAGGGAACAGCTAAGGTATGGTGGTAGTTAGTGTCACAGGGATCTTGCCATGGGATCAGCCATTGCTTTCACATCAATGTTTTTATTAGTGCTCTCAGCACAATACACAGAAGTTTTCTGTGTGATTTATCTGTGTCACAAAAGCTGAAAGAGAACTGTGTGAGGCCTGGCTCATAACAGTGTTTGCTTATGCTCCTCGTACATGCAGAAGTGACACCACTAGTTTCTTATACAAAAATAACTACTTGCAATCCAGAAACACAGATTAAGGAGAAAATCCAAGTCACCAGTTGAGTAACAAAACAAAATAAAGCGCTGTCTTAAATTGGGAGAACTATTTCCAACGGAGTTGGCGATGTATCTATTGCATCCTGCAGTGCACTGATGCAAGCATTCATAAGACCTAATAAGAAAGGCATTCTGACTTCATCAGGATGTTGATTAAAATACTGCTGATTGGAGGTAATCTGAAAAGGTAATAAGAGATTTCACAGATAATTGTATGTCTTTTCAGATGCTGGAAGCCCTGAGCTCTGCCACATCATACAGACCTCCAGCTGGTAAGGTCTGCCAGAACTGAAGACTTTACGGCTTTAATCCAATGTCCTTAAAACAGATAGCACTGTTCATCATTCCTACTGTTAAGAGAAAGAGTGGTATATGACAAAAAAACTGCTTCTCTCCCAAGTAACCTGAGACCTGTGGGAGCTGCCTGAAGGCTTCTTCCATTGCAATCAATGTGCTACGATTATTCTGCTGCCATGAGATCCTTCTGGTACATCCAATAACTGAATGGTACAAGCAGCAGAGCTCAGCCCTGTACCTACTCCCACCAACTATTATGAGGATCACCATCTCCATCACACACACACACATTTCTTAGCACCCTACCACCATATAGGGTACTAGCTCACCTTCAGCTGAAATACTGTGTGCTGTCCCAGCCAACACGATAACCACTTTGAGAAGACTTGCATGGGAGAAGGACCTACTAGCAAACTAGGAAAAATGAGAAGTCTCGGCTAGCAATTAATATGTTAATGCTAGAAATTTCTAACTTTCAAAATAATAATAAAAATAAAATGAGATTCCTAAGCAAGATAAGAAACTCAACTGTTTCATCAGGATTCAACATGTTAAATCACTGTGCTGCTCCCAGTGCATGACGCTGCAGGCTTGGAGTTGATCTAGCTTCACTTCCCTGCAAGGAAAGCACAGGATAGGGCAAAGCCAAGCTCTCAGCTCCTGGCTACCCAGCCAGAGTGAGGTGGCTAGTGCTAAGGTTGTACTGAGACAACCTAGATTTGCCCCAGTGGTTACTGAGACTCTTCCCCCCCTCGCCCAGTTCTGAGAATAGCAGATTGAATGTGGCGCAAATGGGAAGGGAAGAGGGGAATGTTTAAACTGAGACAGGGGAGGTTTAGATTAGATATTAGGAGGAGGTTTTTCACAGAGGGTGGTGACACACTGGAACAGGTTGCACAAGGAGGCTGTGGATGCCCCATCCCTGGAGGCATTCAAGGCCAGGCTGGATGTGGCTCTGGGCAGCCTGGTCTGGTGGTTGGTGACCCTGCACATAGCAGGGGGTTGAAACCAGATGATCACTGTGGTCCTTTCCAACCCAGACCATTCCACGATTCTGTGATTCTATGATTATATGATACAAATAAATCAGTGTGTCCAAAACACTTCAAATTAAGACAGCTGTTTGCTATTGTTCATTTTCAGCATGCTTTAGTGGAGAAATGAGGAGAAAAAAGCAACGCTGTAAGAAAAAAATTAGGTAGTGTTTTATTGAATTAAAAACAGCCTTTCTTCAAAGTGTCTTTACATAACACACATGAAAACTTCAGTCATACAAATATATCAAAACAAACAATTAACAGTATTTTGGCTCAGTAAAATAACTTTCCACTAAAGGAAGGCATAACAAGTAGCAGTTTTTCATAAACACAAAAACTGAAGAGGCCAGAGGTTGGTGGAACTCTGTTGGCTGGCTTGCAAACTGTCAAGGTGAAAATGCAAAGTCAATATTAGTCCTCCAAGTAAAAATATGATACTTCCAGTGTCTAGTCTTCACATTTGATATTGGGATCCTCTGACAAAAGACCAAACCATACAGCTTCTGTCCCACTAAATTCTTTTATCAATGTGAACCATACCAATTAGCACATTCACCTTGTCCAGATGAATTTCAGTAACTTGAGATGGATCTCAAGGCTCTTTTACCATGATGGACTATCACCAAACAAACACTATATTGAAAAGCAGATCTAGTGCAACAGCTATGTGAATGTGACACCTCATGACCAGAAGTGTTTCTCCCAAGACAATTCTGTCTTGAATAAAACATAGAATGAGAACAGAAGATAAGCGTGTGAATTGGTCTACACATACATGACATTCTTTGATAAAATATTCCAGTACCAAAACAGTTGGAAATACCCTGACATTTCCCATATAACTTCCCCCCCACCCCCTCTTGTCCTGAAATAGAATCTCATTCCATTCTGGTCAGATATACACTCAGCTCACAAAGCTGAGAAGGCAAAGAATATCAAATTTTCAGCATACACCAAAGTAATCAAATAACTTATAGTGGGAAAGAAAGTTATTTCCATTGGCTTTGTCATCTGTGAGGCACAACACAAAGGTCACCACTATCCTATGGTCATCCTAATGGCAGTTTTGAGGGATGGCACCTCAGACCATCAGTTTCTTTTGGTTGAGGATGGGGAAGGAAGAAAAGAGCCAATGACAGAAAAAACAAACAAACAAAAAATAACACTACAGTGTCAAAATGAAGGAAGCGGTACTCAAAGAGTAGAAGAATTCTGAGGGATGCAGAACATAAGTTTTTCAAATTAAAAAGTGGTATCAGAGATATCAAAGGATCAATTCAAAGGAAAAAATTCTGCCTAATACCATATTAGCAGCAGCCTTTGAGAACAGCTTGGAAAGCAAAGGAATTTTACGTAGTAGTAAGCTGATTGTTCTGCAGTATGTAATAAGATTTACTGAAATTTGAATTGGGAAAAAAAAAGTTCTGCAAAACAGAATTTAAGAGGACATGAACACAAACAGAAATCCAGAATCACAAGCAGAAATTAAAGGCAGATCCGAAACTCGTGTTGCAAATCAACCATCACAGTCTGATCAGATGCCTTGTCTTCAAATTCTGTACTAGGACAATTATTAACACTAGAGCAAACAATCACAAAGGAGTTAGTGTACACAACTGCAGAGCTTTCTTTTTTTTGCTGCCTTCATTCTCTCAATTCTCTCTCAATTCTCTCTCCCTTATGTATAATTACCTAGCTATTTTGCAACTGTTACATAAACCAGATCTTCACTTTAAGTTTATTAACCAGCCTTGTGCCTTTTCCCTACCCGCACAATGTTACCAGAGCTGTCATACTTTTTCCTTGAGAACACAGGCAATTGGTCATTACACCTACATTTTAAAAATCACAAAAACAGTTCAATACTTATCTTCCCAGAGCATTTTTTTTGTTTGTTTTTAAAAAGGAACTAATTAATAATCAAATGTCACTAGCAGCAAAACCAAGCAATGCCTGTGTATGATAACTTGAACCACAAGTTAGTTTTCAGATGGCATAGAGTTCACCAAACTGAAATTTTCTAAGTTTGTTCACAAGAACCATCTATGCCTTATACTTAGACTACAGAGTCCACTCGTAACAGATGAACACTGAAGCTTCCATACAAAACTAAATCTCTAACTTAGAAGTAGAAACTTGGGCAGAAAATGAAAAGCACAGATGGTTTAACTCCCATATCTCTTATTCCTGTAAATCTTCTATCTACAAACATGACACTAAATTTGGTGATTTCTTTGAAAATAGACAATCCCCCATCAAGAGAATTTATCATTACAGACTGCATCACTGTCCACACATGAGTCTTAGCTTCGGAGTTAACAATTCCATGTTGTATATAAAGTTGCTAAAAAAGCAAAAGTGAGAAAGAGGGAAAGAAAAAGCATTCAGCATCCACAATAAGTTTTAACAGTTTTCGTGTAAACCCATTGGACTCCAGCCATCTCTGGGCAACAGTGTTATTTCAGCTCTATTTTCTAAATGCATACAGCGCTACCAAGCATGACCACTCTACCCTTTTTCCTTTTCCACTGCACAATGACCCTTCCAGGAATGATAAACTCACTGATGTGGGAGAACAGAAAAGCCTCTCTGCCACATTAGCCTGTTCAGGTAGCATAAGCTTTCAGATTTGACAAATGCTGGAGCCAGCACCTTGGCTGGGAACAGGAGGAGAAACATGCTCACTTCCAGCATCAGCAACACATAGGGACAACCCAGCTTTGTAGTCTGTGCCCTGAAGCACCTTTGGTCCCTGAGATGCCAACAAAAAGCCAACAATTCTCTAGTCTGCATGAGAGAATCAGTCATGACCTCGTAGCTCCACATGGTAATAAAGGACAAATATACTAAGGCACTTAACAAGATAAAAGTCTTCTGGACATTAAACATTTTAAGACTAGGAACAGCAATACAATGATACTTTTAATGGTGTTTGAATGGCATTAGGGGCCGAGAACCATGCAGTTCTTTAAATGTAAGATAGATCAGGAAAGAGAATTTACTCTTTGTCAGACTGAGTAGCGTTCTGGGGAAGCTGGGATTGTCTCTTACCTTTTCTCTTGGGTGATACCACACAGGTGCACTAACAATGATGGTATTACCTTTGAGCAAAATGAACAAAGCAGCAAATAAACTTGTAACAAATAAAATTCATGTCATTTCATAAAACAACAACAACAACAAAATCACTTACCAGCATCAACCAAGTCCAATATATAACATCACAATTATAATTAATTTATACGATTTCCTTCATACTCATCCTTCAATTGCTAGAAAGTATTTTTCCGGGTCTTTCTTCTTGTTTTACAAAATTAAAAAATGTTTTAGAAAATCACAGTGCAATTCTTGGAAGAGTCCTTCAGTACTTCCTAAATGTTTCCGTGCCATCACTGTGCTGTTGATGACATTTCAAGACATTCTGCTGATGTGGTCAGAAGAAAATATGATTCACGTCTGCAGATAAAGTTGTAGTACCTTCAATCCAGAAAATTTGGGTGAGATTGTTTGTACAAAAACATGCGACCTTCTGCCAGTCCATCACCAATTACATAAACTTTGTCAGTCACTTCATTTTTCTGTTGTTGCCTGGGGAGAATTCAAGTCTCATGGTGACAAATGAAACCCTGATGAAGATCCATGTTTTCTGGACGGCATGTGGTAGTGCACTTTTTTCCAGAACCTCGTACTTGCTGAGTGTGACCCTTCCGAGAAGTCCCCTTTCCATCGGATAGCTCCATACTTTTGCTTAACATATTTGATGGATTCTGGCATGTTTGCATAATCTTCTATTTTTTCAAGTTCAATCAGAATTATTTTTATACCATCCTGGATAAGAGCATTATACACAGCAAGATGTTTTTCAGATGCATCTTCTAAAACACCATAACATGATGGTTCTGGTACTAAGATAATTATTACTCTTCTACTTTGATGGATTTTTTCATCAGTAATACTGATCACAGCTGCAGAGAGAAAAAAAGGTCAAGCAAAATTAATTATAGAATGGAATCATAGAATGGCCTGGGTTGAAAAGAACCACAGCGATCATCTGGTTTCAACCCCCTGCCATGTGCAGGATCACCGACCACCAGACCAGGCTGCCCAGAGCCACATCCAGCCTGGCCTTGAATGCCTCCAGGGATGGGGCATCCACAGCCTCCTTGGGCAACCTGTTCCAGTGTGACACTACCTTCTGTGTGAAAAACTTCCTCCTAATATCTAACCTAAACCTCCTGTCTCAGTTTAAAACCATTCCCCATTGTCCTATCACTATTCATCCTCATAAACAGCTACTGCCCCTCCTGTTTATATGCTCCCTTCATATATTGGAAGGCCACAATGAGGTCTTCTCAGAGCCTTCTCTTCTCCATGCTAAACAAGCCCTGTTCCCTCAACCTTTCTTCATCGGAGAGGTGCTCCAGCTATTAAGATGGTACCCATACATTCCAACTGCTTTGTTTACTGTTTGATATTTGAGCCAACTTTTACTCATAAATAGGGACAGGATAAGAGTGTGCAAGCTATGTTAGCTGTCAAGAGTAGATTTGACTAAAACAACACAACCTGACCACATGTGAGTAGATGTTCAGAAGTTCTGCATAAAAACAGCAACCAAAACCATACACCTAGATAAAGCTATGACCTTTTCACATTAATAGCTTGTTCTGATATGCAAATTTTTGGTACACGCAAATGGAAGACAAAGCAAATAGTGGTCTGTGGAAAGACATTCAAAGACCCCTGTTCCTGAGTTATTTTTGCAGCTTGCTTCAGCTACCTATGAGAAAACTTGAGTATTATTTGTTTTCAGACAGCTCACCTTCTCCTGCTAAATCATTTCTCCCAAATATAAAGAGGTTATATCCACACTGTCTTTCTAAGACTTCTGGCAGTATCTTCAGAGCAAAAATATCTGATGAGTACAAGCAGCTCTCTCTGTTCTTTGGATATAGAACATAAGCATCATAGATCTTTCCATCTGAAACTAAAGAATGAGCAATGAGAATAAAAAAAGTTTTAAAAAGTTTACAAAAAGGATTCCAAAGACATAAACAAAAAAGATATTGCTAAGTTCTGTTTCATCCCCCACTTGACACATTACTCTGGGTTCTAATCTTATTATCTAAGCATGCATAATTCTATTGAACCTGATATATCTGTAGAAATGGGACTCAAGAATTCACTATGCTGGATCTAAACAGGCAAGAGATCTGTAAATTAAATATATTTGAGTATTCTTATTCAACTCTAAATATTAAAAAAAAAACAACTATCAAAAAAAAACATTACCACTGAATTATCTAGAAAATAGCTGTTGCAATAGAACAATTGCGTGTTTTAGAATTCCAGCAGCCATGTAAGTATTAGATCATTCTTGTAACCAAAACACAACCACTTAGACGCAAAAACAAAATACTTGGCAAATTTCAAGATCAGAAGCACATTTAATATGTCAGAAAACATAACTTCAGAAAGACCAGACATAAGACTTTACAGAAGTCCCAATGAATATCAATATATCTAGTAGATATTTTCTGTTTCCCTACTGATGTAGTTGTTCTCAGGTGTTTGGAAATGGCCCAAACTTCAGCATGCTGCTCTTACAGTCAGCACACCATTCAATGTTATTCTGAATGCTAGCACACAACAGAGAGAAAACTCATGAGAAATTACCAGTCATACTCCATGGAGACAATCTGCTCCATGCAACACACAGCACTCTCAAAGTACACCTGCACTGCTACATAAACATACCTTTTTTACCCAGGAAAGGATGGCAGGAGCTCCGATACCAAAGCACAATATCGATTTTAAAGATCTTGTAGATAACGAGTATAAGAAACAAAAAAAATATCAAAGAAATTCCTCCTCCAATCAAGTAACCCCGAATGTTCTGAACTGCAGTAAAACATGGAATAAAAGGAGAAACAAAACAAAACAAATGAAAGTAGAATTACAGATGAGGAACAGAAAAAGAAAAGAAATGTTAAAAACTGTCTACCTTTTTTCAAGTGTTGTTTAGTCAATAAGGGATTGGAAAAGTAGAAAATACAATGAATGACAAAATTGAAATATCTTCATGCATGCTTTTAACAAATACTGTCATTTGACACGTCAGATTTTATCTTTCAGAGAAAAGGTACCTTAACAGTGGGACAGAAGGGCTTCTCTCAGCCAATACACCAAAATATTAATGTATATCTCAGTGTTACAGTACAGTGAGAGTTCTTGTACAAAATTTATTCAGTCAGAAAGGAAGGAAGTCAGAGAAGGCTTCCTGACTATGCTGCTTTTTCCAGACTAATCAGCCATTGTACCCAGCCTCATCAAAGATCCACTGCTGAACCTCCTACTTTGTCGTCTTCAACACATCAAAAAACAAGTAAGAAAAAAAGAAATCACACTCACAAACAATTCCACAAACTACAATTTTTAGTTGATGCACATTTGAAAAATTCTGAGGTTAATTGCTACCCTGACAATTTTAGTTTACAGTAAGCCAATAATTTGTTTATACTTCTGTAGGAAGCTAGAGCTCTGATCCACTTTCAGTCAATTATTGTTTACCGTGTTGCCAGTTTGAAAATAACCTCTGTCAAATGATTGGCTCACAGTTGACCAAGTCAGCTTGGCCACTCAGCAGACCAGATAATCTTCCATAGCTAAATCAAAAAATAAAATAAGTCGCTGCTTATTAAATCTGGTGGTTTGCTTTTCTGTGCATCTGTTCTTAACTACAAAGAACGAAATTCTTGAGCATTGAATCTGTGGTTTTACATGCTCATTTTACCCTTAGCATAAGGTTTATATACTAAAAAGAAAGATTTCAGGCTAGTCAGCAACAGATCAATCATATCCTGTCTCTGAGCTGATTACAAGATATCCAACGAGCAGCTGGATGCTCCCAGTCAACGTGCATGAGTCTAGAAGGTGATGCATCAGTAATCCCATAACCTTTCCAAACAAACTATTTCATAGCTTCACTATCATCCTTAAGATCGTTTCCTATTATCTAAACAACTTTTTCTTATCCTGGCAATCTGAGCCCATTCGTTGTTAGTGAAGTTAGAACAACCAGATCCACAGATGTATTTCTTTGCTTTTAAGGCCTAGTTCCATTCTTAGTTATGTCTCCTCTTGGTTCTCTAAGAGAATTGGCCATTTTCACAGCTCTTCTGATCTATCTCCTCTGATCCATGTGCCAGTGTGCAAAATGAAACACAATATTCTGCCAAGGACTCATATTTGCTTCAATGTAATTTAAATGTTTCATTGATTTTTCCCAAACACCAAACAAGAAAAAGCAAAGCACGTTCCAAGTGATATTTTCTTTAAACTTACTGTGAAAAGGAATATGAGATAAAGATGCCACAGAGGAAGATACTGAATTGTACTGCCCGCTTAGCACAAAGGTACATTGCACAGTTTTAGCCACAAGTAATGTGGTGTCAAAACTACTTAGGAAGTAATCACCAAGGATCATAATTTTATCAAGATGAGGCAGCTTACCTGGGTGTTCCAATTTGATGTATGATGTAAATTCTTGAGAATCATAAAAGAAGTGACAAAAAAATTTATAAGTATAATCCTTCAATTTCACTTCTGAAATGTTAAATTTTGTTCCAGACACAGCAATCCCATGAGGCATTCCCTCTCTTTCATTGGGGGAAAAAGAAAAAGAATTAGAAAAGAAGCGTCAACAGAAACTGGAATCACATACAAAAAATCATTTTAAAAACAGTATTCAACATGACATTATCCAGTTTTTGCACTGGTGATGGAGACAGCAATGCTTCTGCATGATTCTGAAATGGGCAGTTGAAAAACCGCCTCCATTCTTCTCTACACTTAGTTTTAAGAATTATGGTTAGTGGCAGTGGTTGATGTGATGATAAAACAGACAGCATACCCACAATTTCTTACAGTATAAATTAGTCACTCAGCAACAAAGATCCTTCTGTTTTGGAAGAAATTACTGTGTTTTTTTTCTGGTTTAATTTGTACTTAATTTACCTAAATGAAAAAAATATATAACCCTAAATATTCTACAACAAGGTCTTCTCCTCCGTGTACTTCAAAATCAACAGCTATATCAATTTAACAAATAAAAATAGAGTGATTTTTTTTTTTTTTGGCCTTAAAATATCTTTCCTTCTCACGTTAATGATAGAGGACAAGATGTAAACTATTAGTAAAAGGACTGCATAAAACAAATACATAAAAAAGCCTTACAAAATGGTACGTTTCATAACAACTTTCTGAAGGTCTGAATATAGTTGCTTCATTGCATTTGTGTTTTTAAGAAATTGCTTATACATTTTAAATCAAGCATTAAGGATATCATGTACTTGATGCAGATTTCTAATCGTTCTTTGAACAACTACTGCCATTAACTACTAGTCAACTTTACAGTGAATTCACCACAAATTACTACCAATTGCATCACACAGAAATGCACTTAAGTTCAATGTATAAGAACTTACTCATAAAACTGTTCCCTGTAGGTGCTGTCAAAGCTATCAACATCTTCATTATTAACTTGCCAGTATGGAAGCAAGCCATACACACCACTTGATACATTGCATTCCATGACTACATGAGAGCCTACAAAGCAAAACAAAAAATTAAATACAGCAATTGAAAGTCTTGTAACAAAAGCACATTCCAGTGTTAGGGGAACAGCTGGAAAAAGAGGGGTAAGGAAAAACCCACTTACCTTACAAAAAGCAGAGTCCATAAAACTCATCCATTTCTACTCCACTGTTGAGTGTCTCCAATCTGGATGTGAATTCCACCCTAAATGTAGGTATCTGAATGTTCATGTCTACATGTGAACTAAATATCTAACCTAGTAAAGGAGTTCACCTCCACTGGAATCTGCTATTGGAATGGATACCTGAGCCTTTCCATCTGAATGGCTCTCCAGACTCCTCTGACTACACTCAAAAATCTCCGAGGCTCAAATCAGTTGCCTGTACACAGTGTGATAACATTTCAAAAACATCTGTACAGTGCTGGTAGATAATACTCTAAATCTTCAGGAAACCTGCACAGCTGGAGCAGTCAGTTCATCCAAAACAGCACTAGACATCTATGGATAGGCAACTGAATTAAGCTTCTATTAATAACAGCACAAGTTTAAGTCCTTAAGACATATGCAGACACAGGGAGGTACCTGTGAATTGGAGCTGCATCCTATTCTTAGTCACCACGCGTATCTACATCAGATCAGAGTCTTTTGGCCAACATTGTCTACTGGAATCGTTTCTGATTACACTGACACTCTATTTTCAGAGCAAGTTCACCCATCTGTAAGTTCCTTTGCCATCAAGAATCCAGGTCTTACAGTATGAGCATCATACAGTAGCATTAAGAAAGCAAGTCAAGTTGCAGAATGTATTTATTGCGAATGTACCTCAAACAGTTCCATTTACAAGAACGGAAGCATCTTTCATGGAGTCCTTTCCTTCTTTATTTTACCAACAGAAGTTATGTAATGATCTCAGGGTTTCATTTCCTAGAACCACAGATCTAGATGCTTCCACCAAAGGATAGTCTCTATCAAAAGCATGCATGTGAACTAAAGGTTTATTTCAGAGTAATTACTAGAACAGGGTTTACATAGAAATCCCAGATTCTCTTCAACCTTCTCCCTCTAGAATAAAGTTTGCCTGAAGAAACCCCTTCCTTTAAAGAGTCTCCCTGTCATCAAGAAACATTTATTTTGTGTTAATTCTTCAGCTACAATAAGCCCACCTTGTAGGTGAAGGCCTTGTGTTTCCCTTTAGTCCCATGCACGACTGCTTTCTCAATGTCTGTGAAGTAATTAGAGCTGGTTTGGATGCCTCAGATCAGTTACGACGAGCAATAATGTAACAGCAAATTTTAATCAACAATGTTCAAGCTTTAACAAATTTGGATCCAAATGCTCATCTAAAATGTAGTTGTCTAAACAAAAAGGTGTCCCATAACACATCTTAATATAAGCCAAGAATATAACAGGCAGCCCCTGGAATGACAATTACTTGATCTTCCATTTTCTCAGTAAGTACTATCAAAGGATTAAAAAAGTCCTTTATGCATTCAGTAAATTAAAGTGCCTTTTAAGGGCCTAAGCTGATCAGACCCCTGAATAGTGGTTTGACTACCATCAGTGTGATGTATCGAAGAGTAATCCACGATTCTCTGGCCTTGGTTCCCATATGGCGCTAGAGCCCCAGCACAACCTTTCCTCTGGGCTTCTTTAATGAACTAACTGCTAATATTTTTATTAGCAGTTATAATTGCTTCCTCAAAACAGAGCCAGACATGTTAGACCTCTCTGTACTAGGTAATTGCAACAGCCACTCACATTTCTCCAAGATCAGTTAAAGCCCTTTTTAATCAAAGATTTTTATTGGAAACAGTTCTACTTGGTACAAAATGATTTTAAAAAAATTCACAGTTCATACAGTTTCAAAACTCATTCTTCTAGGCTAGATCAGTACAACGCATTTATTATATATGGTACAATCTAAACATGTATAGGTCTTCTCAGGAAAAGATTCACATACTATACTCTAAGCTCACCAACTCACAGGATTACTGATATTGGGCATGACCTCAGTACGTTACTAGTCTAGTTTCCTGTTCAAAGCAGGGCCAGCTACAAAATCAGCCCAGGCTACTAGAAAGCTTTATCCAACCAGGTTTTGAAACCTCCAAGGACAGAGAATGCACAGCTTCTCTGTGCAACTCCACTGGTCCTCCTATCCAGTCAGAATCTCTTTTGTTTAAGAAATTTCTAAGATTAACAGCATCTGGAATATCTATAAACTAAGATTTCAGTGCTTCACAAAAGATCAGTATCAAAAATCTTTTAATTCCCTAAAAGATCATCTGGAAAATCACCTGGAAAATCCATTTTCCAGAGAGAGTAGAGAGAGAGGAAACATACAGGATGAGAAAAGCTACCGAAAATGCTCATCTGGTAAATATCCTAACATGTTGCATATACATAACCATATTTCCAATGAATTGAAGACATGCCAAGACACAGGCAGTGAGAAGTGGTACAAAGGATAGATGGCCATAATCAAATATAGACACATCCAACCTGACATTGCTGATAAAGAGACTCCAATCTTAGGTGCACTCGTTATTCTATCTGCAAACTACTTGCAAGAAATCATGCTCAATCATCCATCCTTCTCAATGCACATGTCTACATACCAGTCTTGCAGAAATCAGCTGAACTGTTACCACGTTATTTCAGAAAATTAGGGAGTTTATCTGTTAACTAAATTTTAATGATTTCTTAAATATTCACTACTTACCAAGTTCCACTTCAATTGTATTGTTGTTTGGGTAAATAAACTCCGGTCTCATCTTCAGTGGACTTTCTGAAAGAAAATAAATAAGTAAATGAAACCTCTGGGCAATACAATTTTCACAATTTACTCTAACTGAAAGTTTTGCAATGTTTTTGTTTTACTATATGGTTCTATTGTAGCACTGTATCTACTGCCAGCTTCAAATTTCCAGTAGAAAATCTCTAATGAGATGTGCTACGCTCCAACTAAATTATTCTTTTAGCTTCCAAGACAGATTTCAGTTTACCTTACAATTTTATTTTTTTAAGTCTTAAATTCAGTGGAAATTTAGATAGATGTAATACAAAACCACAAAACAGAAACAAGATCAAAAATAATGCAATGAACTTTGTCAGAGAGATAGATAAGGAAGAGAAAGAGGAATTATCACAATGACTCAATCTTCTATCATTGCTATCGAGCAACTGCTCTTGTATTGTCATCTAACCTAAGAAAACTGACTCAATCTAAGAAGATGGACAATACAGCTCTAGCCAACTTTTCTGAAAGGATTACTGTCACAGTAGAGATCAGGTCACCATTAAGGCTGCCTACAAAAACAAACTGACCAGCAGGGCTACAAAAAGTTCTGCTGTCCTGATCTCAATAAAAATAATTTGGTGGTTTTGATTTAATGGTTGTTCACATGTTTGGTCTTTTTTTTTTTTTTTTCCTTCCACAGAAACAAAAACACCACCCCAGTAACCACTGTTTCTTTCTATTCCTAACCCCAGATTTTTCATTTTACAAAGACAATTCTTTCTCAAAAGCCATGTTCAAGGGTAGCAATATGCATTATTGCACTTCAATCATTGCATTCAAGGAAAAACTGATTTAAAGAAAATTTGCAGTCCTCATCCCACAGAGCTGAAAAATGTCATGCCAGATTGCTTACGCCTGTATACAAATAACTTAGAAATAAAGAGAACAAACAAACAAACAAAAAGTGAATAAAACCTGTGTAGTTACCTTTAACCTCCAGATTCATGGTGCGTGAAACATTATATTGTTTTCCCATGAATGTATATACCATACGGCACGTGTAGTTTCCTTTGTCTTGGATAGTAGCATTGAGGATCAATACAGCATTTCCACCCTCTGCCAAAACAAGTCGTTTGTCTTCAAGAAATCCAGACTTACACTCCTAGAAGTATCAAAAATGCCTGTGATTTAGGAGGACTTATCACGCAAATGAACTAAAAATCATTACATTTGAAGCAGAATTTAGAGAATGCGTGCCTACATTTCTACTTCACTGAGATGAAATTGAGCTTTTGTAGCAATGACTCATGATGTTGGGTGTATTATCACTTCTGTGGCAAGGGCAAATGCAGTGACTTTCTTTTCCATGACCTATAGACAGTTTAGAATCACTTCATCTCAAAAGAGCCTTGATGCTACACCTGTTCATTTTATTTCAAATATAATACATAGACTGATACAAATACTTGACAGCCAGCATCAAAATTAAGAGTTGAACTGCTCTAGAATTTTACCTCAGTATGAAAAAATCCTATACCTTTCAGTGTCTGCATGGTCTACACAATATTTTGCTTGATTCAGAGCAAGAGGCGTAAGAATACTATACTATAATCAACATACTGACGACCCTGCACATAACAGGGGGTTGAAACTAGATCATCATTATGGTCCTTTTCAACCTAGGCCATTCTATGATTCTATGACATGGATAAGCCTAATATTCAGAGAAACTGAAATAGTTATGCAGAGCTTAGTATTTAAAAAACACAAGTTTTTAAACTCATCACCTCCATACCTTACCTACCAACTTATTAGCTACATCAACTGCAAATTTCACAAATCAACAAACAAAAGCAACACACATACAGGATTCTGATAGAACTTACAGCCTAAATGTCAACATAGTGTCTTCTTAAATATGTATCTCTTGCTAACTGTGGCAAGATTGATGCCATATTCAAACTGTAGAGCAAACTTTTTCTTTCTAAAGCTTCAATTCACAGTTACTTCATAGCACACTTTAAAAATAATATTTCCTTCTATATCTTAAATAGATATGTACAATACCTTATACCAGTGTATTTCAGGATTAATATTGTCTTCATCTTTGAAGTTTTCTAGATCAGGACACATAATCTTTCCAATATTTGCACTCTTCACTATTTGGTCATACTTCATTTCTCCATTAAAGCACAAACCATTATCATTCTCAAAAACTTTTAAATTTATAATTTTTTGTTTAGAGCGGTTAAGACTCCTGTAATGAGAAGAGCAAACAAGTCAGGTCATTAACAACACAGCCCCTGCTTCCAGCAAGTCAAGAAATTTATAGAGAAGAGATTTTAGGACTTACAGAGACTTCGGTATCTTCTCCAGCTTTGCCTCTATCACTATTGCTACAGTCTCTCCAGCTCTTAAACATCACCCTCAGTTTCTCCCTCACTTTCTGTTCCAGAGCAAGAGAGATGGGAATAACCTCTTATGTTGTGTAGTGAACTGAAGTGAAATCTGCTCTGGAAGTTTCACCAGATGAGAATTCAGAACTTCTCACAGCTCACACTGTGGAGCCCAGAGCAGCAACCTAGCATTTTTGTTTTCAGCTCTATCTTTGCCCATACACATTAGTGCAGGGTCACCCAAACCATAACTGCTCTGGAACACTTTCAGTCTCAGCTGAGCTGGAAGTAAACAGAAGAAGAAAATGGGTTGATTTCACTGATAATAATCTTTGAAGGGGCAAAGGATAACTTTTAGCACAAGAGAGACAAAGCATTTGAATAAGACATACACCAAATGTACCAAGGCACAATATGGTGTAATATCAACACGAAACCACTTCTGACTGAGAGCTCACAGAACACCAAAAAGAATTTGTGGTATCAAAGCTCTGCAGGAGATTTGGTACTACAAGACAGAAATCTGAGACAGAAATAAAGAAATAGCCATTATTAACTTTTGTTCACTATTCATTTCTTCATGGCATGCTAAGTGAGATGCTTTCAGAAGAGACAGATGCATATTTTCACAGACTTGGCTACAACTTTAGTATGCTGCACCTTGATAAGTTTTAAGATTAAATCTTAAATGCATGATGCACAAAACGTAGCCTACTGTTAATACAATTGAGCTTTACTATATATTTTTTGGCATGCTGCTATTACACAAGCCAAACTTAGGAGGTCAAATGCCCAAGAAAACACAAAGCAAGCATGGCTAAATTAAATCTGTGTTTACTGTAATACCTAGTTAGCTTTGAAATGGTTGCATTTCTTCCCTGTTTCAATTTTGGATTCATTTCTGAATCCAAATGTAACATGGAGTTACAAACAAATGTACATATAAAAACAAACAAGAAAGACAAGACTTGGGTTCCTTGAAAAGATTTGCATTTGTTGTTCTTGGTGTGATGTGGGAAGACATGACAATAAATAAATAAATAAATAAATAAATAAATAAATAAATAAAATTCTATGTGCCTTGCTGGCATTAATTTCCTGTTCAGCACACAGTGGATTTCAGCCACCATAAGTAAGATTTGACCACCTGAAGTGGCAATTTCCAGTGCACTAATTGAAAGGAATCTATTTCTTTTCTTTCTTCTCTATGCATGTAAATCATTTTAACAATGCTGGGGAAACAATATTCTCACTATCTTTAAAGATGGCTAGCACACTGCTTTGCTCTTCATATGCACTCTCATTTTTGACAAATAGCGTTTGGTAATTTTTTATAATAAGACATATAAGAATGGGTTTCTGCTTCTCAGTTTGTAAATTCCCCAAAAGGATCCCCCCAGACTTGCAAAGCTATCCAGGAAGTCTGTATGCGTTGATAGTGTGTAACATGGTTGATAGTGTGTAGCATACAGAGTTTGCTGTTCATAGCTCCTTATTCCATTTAATCACATTCAATGAAGAAATTAAAATGTTATTTTGATCTGCTGCTATCAAACAGCCATATGAACACGGGAATAGCTGAAGGAGTTAAGACTTTTTACAGTGACTTTACAATTCTGCCAAGACAAACAATGAAAACAAACAGGGAAAAAAAAAAACCCACACCATGGTCAATATTATTGTCCTTTGACATAAAAAGTTTCCTGTACAAAACACTTCTGCAATGCCAAATTCAACACATTTGGAAGAGAAAAAGGCAGCACACCAAAAAGCATGGTCAAGACACTGCTTTTAACTAATCTAAGATCACTTCCCCCTCCCCCCCCCCCCCAAAAAAAAAAAAAAAATCATCTGTACTTTGAAGTCCCACAGATATCACTACACTGTAAGCATTAGTAATCCATTTGTTTCACTCCTTACCTTACTTCACATTCATAAAGTCCAGAATCTTCAAGTGTTGCAGGAATAAACCAAAGCAAGCCCTTCCTCTGATGGATCCTGGCATGTCTCTCCGTGGTTATCGGTGTATTACTACCATTTTTATACCAAGTCAGATTGTAATCAGAATGAAGCGTTGGCAATGTAATTACTGGGCAACTGATAGCTGTAGGTTCTCCAAGAAGAACAAAGTAATTACAAATAACACATTCTTCTATTAAAAAAAAAAAAAAAAAAAAAAAGAGAGAGTGAGGGAGAGAGAAAGAAAAGTTACTAATGCTTTTAATCTGTATATTTTTAAGAAGTATCAATATCCATATATCCATTTCAATTTAAAATAATTAAATTTTCCATAATTATTTACCATTAAAACATTGGAAGACTACTGTTTTTATCTCTTCAGTACCTTCTGGTTGAGTAAGCACATGCTTAGCACTACAAAGTTTAGGTCAAAACTTCAGTTACCATAGTCAGCAATAGTCACACAGCAAACCATGACATATGAAGATATGTGGGATTTGCCAGGCAATACAAGCTTCTCATCTTTCACATCCTTCCTATTTCAGCACGATAGCACTTACATAGAATTACCAGACTCTTAGTTGATCTGTCTACAAAAGACACAGTGCAAATGGTAGCAGCATGGAACTCCACACACTACCCTGGCCATTATGACTGTAAAGCCAAAAACAAATAAGGGGAGGAAAAAAAGAAGAGTCTGACCTGAAGCACATGACTGTGTGGAATTAGATTAAGATCTCCACATAAATAAAATTAAGTCTGTGAACCAACACATAATACAATCTAAATTTGAAGAGATGAGGTTTTTATATTAGGAAATCTTGACTACAATATATTATTTCCTTACTGTGTTTGCAATTTCTCTCCTCTCTGTCCAGAGCACCATCCCTTTATAATTATGGCTATGTAACAAGTTGACATTACACAATCAGGTGTCTTAATAAGGAATTTCTAAGCATCAGTTTAAAATAATACAGGAGAACAACAAATACTGCAAGAAGTCATCAAGAAGTCTATATGCTTAAATTTTTTTAGAAAATACCCATTTCTCAGAGTCAGCCAGTTGGCTATGAAGCAGATTTTAAAAGCTTCTGAATATGCAACACTGAATTCCGAGGGAGGGGGGAACCACTGGCAATTTATTTTGCAAATTTTGATGAATGATTATGTAAATTCAAAGCTCATCTCATGATTTTTTTTAAAAAAAGTCTTCAGTAATTTTCCTACCTTAACACCATCTTGCCACCTAATTCAAATAGTTTCCTAGAGAGCTATTTCCTTAATATAAGCCTGCTTATGCCAAGAACAGCAAGATAAACACTATTAATTTATGTAGCCTAAAATCTACTGAGAACTTAGATCTACCATTAAAATATTGTAATAGTAATAGCAAATTATTAATTAATTACTAATTAATTATTAATTAATAACTGGTAGAGCTCACTACCAGTCTGTTCTCAGGGCAAGAGATACAGTACCACTCTTAAAGAAGACATTTAAAAGCTAATGCGACTTCAAGGACGCCAGCCTCTTCACACTTTCTTTAAAGGAATTAGGGAGAGGCTACTCAAAGCCTCAGTACTCTGAATTTATGCCAGCCTGTCCTAACCACCCCCAGCACAGCTTCGATCCAAGAAGAAACATTTGGAATATTTTCAGTATGCTAAAACAAAAACAAATACTAAATACAGTGATTTCCCTCTTCTCTACTACACATACTCAACTTGTGTCTCTTAGGCTTTCTTTTTAAAATAGCAATTTCAAAAACACATCTAACTTACCAGCACTGAACAAAGGTATGACTAGAATTAGATGACCAATAAGCAAAAATGTAGATGTCATCTTATGCTGTAAGGCAAAATTATTTTCCGTTAGTATGGTGAGAGCATTCCAAGCTGCACTGTCATCTGCCCCCCACATTACTCTTAAAAATTGAGGACAAGCATTAGTCATCTTGAGGAGGGTAAAATGGGTTTGGCAGTTTAACCCCAGCCTTGGAAAATTGCAGCCATTGGAATAGTTGGTGCCTGCAAAAGGCTGCTGAGTTTTCAGCTTTACACTACAGCTTCCTATTTTCTACTGGAAAAACTCTTGTGTAAATGTGTATTTTTCATCTGCCAGCAGGTTAAAGCCCCCCAAAAACATTTCACATAAATGAAATTATGCTTGCATACAATGATATTCATGTATAGTTTAGATAACAAGATCGACTAAGCCCTTGCTCTCCACACATTTACAAAAGACACAACTGCAGGGATACATAAGGTTTCATTCTTCAAACTGAGCTTGTGCAGTTGAGGCAGCACTACTTTTGACAGTAGATGAACTTGTAGTCCTTTGCTGGAGAACAAACACACTGTAACTACAAGGCAAGCAAAAATTCAAATTTTGTCTAAGGGTGACAATGTTACCAAATGGGTAAACTGTGGCTAACGTGAATTGCTGCGGTTACTAAAAAGCAAAACTTTCAAGACATCTCAGGTCTCTGCAGCTTCCCCTAACAGTAGCAAGACTGGACAGAAACCACTGCCCTTGTATCCCAGAACTGGCTTTCATGAAACCTTTGTATCTTAACCAAGTTCCCTCTTTTCTTTTTTCTTGGCAAATGTCATCAGAGACCTTCCCAAAACATCTAGTGACAGACAGCTTGAAAACATTTAACCCCTTTCATTTCTGACATAGCTTTCTGCAGGTTAATGTCTGCTTATAGCTGTTGTGCCTTTCTTACATGACTATACTGCACACTGTTCCCTCTAGCATTAAAATAATCTGGTTTCCCATGCAACAGATATTGCAAACTGTAATGAACACAGGTGCCAGGTTTCTACTCAGCTAGAACCGGCTTGGAAAAAGAGAATACATTCTCTGAAAAATATACACTGCCTTGAATTACTTTTATGCTCACAGTAGTTCATCATAGCAGCAAATAAGCCATGTTAGCTACTTGTTTCAGAATACTGTTTCAACCAGATGTGCTGGGGCAGTAGGATAGGACACATGGAGCAGAGTGCAACATTGGAATATAACTGTTTCCAAGTATTTACTCGTTTTGGACAGTATATCTGAAAAAGCACTCGTACCATAGCCTTTATTTAGTTGCCTTGTATGTGGTTTTCCTGTCACTTGTCAAAGAGCTGATCATAATTCTTGCAGCTTTGGTTTACCTGTAAAAAGGAGAAGGGAAAAAAGGGATTGTATGAAACACATGATTTGGACAACAGTACGCACACACAGAGCCAGTCTTCTTCTACAGACATCCTAAATATAAAAGCACCTACTTCACTGTGTCTGCAGTGGAGACACAAAAGAGCACCAACAAAACCCGAAGATTGACCAAAAATCCTATGAAAGATCTCTGGGGAATATTTTTTCCACCAAAAAAATGAAGATGACATTACATATGAGTCAACGTGAGCAACAAAGACAGACATAACCAGCTACTATTTAAGACTAATTTGACCACTAAAAGGAAATGATGCCTAAATTAGGGTAAGAATAACCAAGTTACTATTACTCTATGCTAGAGACTGAGCCTTTAAAGTAGCTCTATTCTTTACAAACTCCCTCCCCACCAGTTCAAATACTGCAAAAGTAAATCTTTGAAATTCTGAAAAGAAGCAAAGAAAACTGCAGTTTTCGTAGTTGCAATACCAAATAGTATGCAGAGCTATTCTATTCTGGCTAGCATGGTTTCAGGTGACACACAAGGTTCTTACAAACATTCCTTCTCAAGCGGAATATACAGTGAAACTTTATCTAAAATCACTGATGTGAAATAGCAAACTTTGTTTAAAGAAAACTGTTGTTTGTTCACATACCTATTGGTTAACCCTGTACTGTCTTCTAACTCAGTCTCAGCAATAAGCCATGCTGCTGTGATAGGGATGCAGAGACTCAGTCTCACTTACGTAGAGAGAGCACTAGCTTTACTGCCTGCGTACTTAGTTTGAAGTACTCTTTCAGTTCAAGACTTACTGTGCATAAAGGAAACATGTATGCATAGTCTTTAAGAAAAAAAGAGAAAAAAAAACACCCACTCACCCACCAATCATCTTTGTGGTTTGATCTACTGAAAAAGATTTCCGAGTTACTTTTCTATCTTCGCATAGATGAAATATAACTTATTACTTCCTCAATTTTCTAAAATTAGCATCTTGAAAACAGAAAACATGTGGACCTAACTTTCTGTTTTGAGAGGACATCTCTCTTCACAGAGCCTCCCTTTTACTTGTCTTAGGCACAATGCCAACTCTAAATGCAGTAAGAACAGCTTTTAAAGACATCGGGCTCCTAAGTCTGCATGTAGCAAGATAAGCAAAATTGTCCTGCAGGAAACTTTTCAAAAGATAAAACTATATGTTTATTTTCCAAATTTTAAGAAGATTTTCTTCCAAAGGCCAATACAGTGACAAAACTTTCAAGACAGCTTAGGAAACATTTAACTCCTACAATTATTAGCAATTTGCTATTAATTTAAGTGGCTTTCAATATTGATCACTACCTACAAGGACTTGTTACTGCTAGGGGGACTCTTAGTCTATAAGTCATGAAGAAAAAAGACAGAAATTGAGATTTAAGGCAATTGATCAGCATGTCAGCACACAACATAACAGTCTGAAGGTGTAAAATGCCTTAATTTTGCAGCATATCTAAGTGAGTGAACTTTTTCAGTAAAGCTTTAATAAAAGTCTAATTGAAACAGCGGTGAGAAGGGAGAAAACAAAAATTAATCAAAAAACCTATGTATTTGTCCAAAGTACAGCCAACAAGACAAGATTAAACCCCTTACAGAAATTCATACAGATCACGCATTATTCTCCTGCCAGTTTGTGTCTCTAAGCAAAGCAAGACAGATTCTCTACCAGCCAATACCTTGTTACCTGGCTACTCTACCTGAGGTCCCAACTCCTTTTTCTAAGATGCTTAATATATAAGCAGAATGTAGCTGATCATTTTACACGGGCATGCAGAATCACAGAATGGCCAGGGTTGGAAGGGACCTCAGAGATCATGATCACCTCCAACCCCCCTGCCACAGGCAGGGACACCAACCTCCCCCTTTAATACCAGACCAGGCTGCCCAGGGCCCCATCCAACCTGGCCTTGAACACTTCCAGGAACGGGGCATCCACAGCCTCTCTGGGCAGCCTGTTCCAGCACCTCACCACTCTCTCTGTAAAGAACTTCCCCCTGACATCCAACCTAAATCTTCCCTCCCTCAGCTTAAAACCATTTCTCATTGTCCTGAAACCATTTCCCCTTGTCCTGAACAGTCACACAGAAAGATACACAAGCACCCTCTGAAAGAGGACCTGGGTGGCCACTGTGGTAGTCTGGTTGTTTATAGTGATGACCACAAATGTTATTCCTTCACTGCCTCCTTTTCAGACAATTCTGCAAGTTACAATACTGCAGAAAATCCATGCCTGTAAGTATAAAACCATTACTCAGCAGATTTTGTTTCATTCAAATGAAGTCACCTCAATCAAATGCCTACAAAGTGGTTACATCCCTATAAGCCAACTTCCTGCTCAGCTCTGAGAAAAGCGCTAGCTACTGTACATCTAGATTCTAAACAAGATGTTCATTGCACATACTGCCTCACCTTTCACCACAACACGGGGGGCAGAGAATGAGGAAGAAAAGATGGATATCTGTAGGTGTACAGAACCAGCCATCAGTGGATCTGAGCACAACCAAAAGATGCTTATGCACAGATTTCCACTGCACATTAAGCTGGAGTCAATGAGAGCATCCAAATCACCTTGAACGAAGAGATCTTAGCAGTATTCAAAGAAACTGAAAACAGTACCTCCTTTCAGCATCAAGTAAAAGGAGCTCATTTTGCAGTCGCAGCTTCTAACAGTTTTCTGTATCATTTCAGCTCCTGTCAATATAAAACAATGTGAAAATATTTAAACTCAGAGTAAATTACAAATTTTTCATTGTCGCTTTCAGAGAACAGTTAAGAGCGATTTAAGTGGCCCAGAAAGGCTCATAGAGATAAAAATACAAATATAGAAGATAAGGGATGCAGAATAATATAAAAATTAATGTGTTATTCTTGGGGGGGGAGTTTATTAAAAAAGGAACTTAAGTATTATTTCTCCTTTAGGGACTGGCTTAAAATTATCTAAATTGGGAATCGCATTATAAAACAATTTTTGTGCAAAGCCTTATGTCAATTTTGCAGTTTTTAATGCTTTCTGATTTCACAACTGCTATGAAAGAAGAGTGTTCATTTAGCAACCCTAAGTTGCTTTTGAGAGTCTAAGCACATACAAGCAGTCCAAGTCAAACAAGCCTGAAGTTACCAAGCTCAGGATGAACAAAGCCAACAAACAGTATTTTCCAGAAATCCCTGAAGAAATTTCCCAAACTTAAAGAGCCGCTTCTGGAAAGAACCATAAACATTTCTTCAGCTCAAGAGCTGACAACTGCTAATTCAGTCCTACCACGCTGTGACTGCACACAGAACGGTCTGGGGCTGTGAGGGCTGCTGCTCTCAGGCTCCGCTGCAGAGTCCTGCAGCTGCCAGGGCACTGCTTTCACTCACCAAAGCGTGAAGGAGGCAAGAAGCTCTCGATTTCACAGAAGTAACAAATTATAAAAGCCTTTGCTTGATCACAGTTAAGCAATAAGCCATTTCTGCAGTGTTGTACTACGTCAAGATTTGCACCCAGCTTTGTCCTGCTTCCTGCTCTAAGAACTTCTAAAAGAAGCGTGGCTGAGCTGTGAGATCCCACACTTTTCCTCTGTATATCGCACTTTCTACCCGCGTTTAGATAGTCCCGTACATAGTGAAGAAGCCAAAGGAAAATACCTCCTAAAAAAAAAAAGCGTCACAAAACCTAGAAAACCAGCAGACGCGCAGAGATTTTGTGGGACTGGGCAAACAAAGCTCAGCAGAGCCCGCAGCACTCCTGAAAGCAGCAGAAAGCTCTCCGGCAGGGCACCCAGCCTTCAGCCTATCTGCCGAGGAGCCGCGGGATGCCGCACAACGCGGGGCACGCGGGAGACCCTAGGGAAAGAAAGGCCTTCCCTGCTCGCGCAGCCCTCCGGCAAACGGCCGTACCCTGGGCAGCCCGCGGCACCGCACCCTCCCCCCCTATGCTGCAGCCCTTCCTCACCTCCGTCCGTGCCCCGAACCCCCGCGGCCACCCCGGCCCCTGCCGCACCGCGAGCGGGCGGCAGCCCCTGCTCCGCCCGGCTGCGCACCGGAGCTTCGCCCCGCCCAGAGGCCGCCTCTCAGCCGGCGGAGCTCCGCGGCGCGTGCGGGACTGGCGGGCTGCGGAGCTGAGTGGCTTTGCCGGCGCGACACCGCCGGGCCTGGAGGCGTTGGCTTCAGCTCTGAGTGTTTTCCTTCGGGCTGCCCTCAGGGCTTCTGGCAAGCCGTGACCGGGAAGGTCACGCTAAGGCTTCTGACCTGCTCCGGTCACCGGTCCAGCTGCCCAGCTGCCCAGCTGCGTCGTGTCCATGGTGAAAAGGGCACAGCACTCCTGAGTGCACGGACCTTCTGCCTGGGATTCCTCAGGGAATGAGGGCTCCGTGCAGCCACTGTCTTAAACCGTGGTGACCTGATGTAGCTCAGCTTTGCTATTCGGAGCTTTGTTTGCTTGCCGTCTGAGAAGTCATTTGATCACCTGTCTCTACCACTGTGTTGGGGTGTCTGCTTCTCCAGTTCAAACAGTAGTTTCTTCCTTCTGGATTTAAGTGGTAACTGTTCTCATTCGTTGGTTTAATGATGACGTTAAGCATATTCAAACATTTTTAAAAATGTAAATTTTTCCAGAGAAGAAGTTTCTCTTCAATTTCTTCCTTGCCCTTACTCTTCAATTCAGTGCCCTCTCCTCCCTGAATTTGCTTTTGCCTCCTTCATTTTGATTCCAACTCTTGGTCACTCCTCAAAGACGTGTCTGGTGGGTACTTGAAGTGGTTGACTATTCCCACCTCTGCTTTTATTCAAACCTTCTGAAGATCCATAGGCATTAGCTACATTTACATTCCAGATGATGTAAGCATACTTTTTAATATGAATTACAAACAATTTAAGAAGAAGCTTCCCTTTGGAGTCTGAACAATTCCCAAACCACTGTGAAGGGACTGTCATCAACTTGTTTAGAAAAAATGTGGGAAGGAATGTTTTTCCTTATTAAACAGAAGAGCATATTTTCTTTCCCAGACTTAGAGACTATCATTACTATTTCCATAGGGTGAAGCTTGGTCTTTTTTTTGGTAGAAGTGCTAGATTGCTTCTCTCTTGGTTTCATTAACACTAATTAGAGAAAAGAAGGGATTCTCCTACTGGGCTTCTTCCATACTGACAATTAGGATGAAGAGTTTCCTTGAGCCACAGAGTTCTCAGAGAGCAAGGCTGAGAAATATTTACCAACTTACTGGAGGAGAAGCCCTTTTAAACTAGAAGTGTAATTTTCTATTCCTGCTGCCCTGCGTGCTCATAAGCTTTTGCAAACTCAATTTTATCTTTGCCAACTGAGTATTTTTAGCTGTTTTTTCCTTCACAGTTTTCGAGTCAAGGGTTGTGTTAAGGTGACTGGCTAACACTGGAACATTCCATTTCAGCAGTCCTCAGAACAGAGATATTGGAGTGCTGTAAGTGTTTATTTGCACAATAATTAAAGCAACTCTTCCTATTAAGCTGCACACACTAGTTTGAAAGTTGATGACAGGTGGGGTTCCAGAGAAGGAAATCTACCCTAGTAGTTGGCAATAACAAGGAAAGCGTGGAAACAGGGAGCATGCTAGGAACCCACCTTTTCAAGGAAGGATAACACCTACCTATCTGAAATATACTGAAATATATAATTTCCACAATTGTGATATATCTGCTACAACCACACTTCTCAAGTAAAAACTCAGAGAAATGTGACATTATTCTAGAGAAACTGATCATGAGGAACCAAAAGTACAATTTTAAAAGAACACACGCAAGCGTAAGCACTGCCAAATTTGTGACTCAGTAGCAAAGTATGCATCATTCTCAGAGCAGAGAGAATGTTTCCTAGGATTTCTTAAGAGTGTTCTACATGGATTTATCATGAAACATCTAGTAGGACTCCAGTTAAAGGAGAATAATTTTGCTCATATCTGTTCTCATTCCGCCATAGAACTGGTTTCCCTAATGAGTTGAGAAACCCCATCTGTTACTCCAATTATACACTCAACTGTGTGAATGTACCTGGGTACTGAGCTTACGTACATTTGGGAAAAGCCTATTGTTGCTTCCAACTGCAGGCCTCTGGGACATGTTTCAGGACTCAGACCTCTGAGCACATGGCAGGTTGCTGCTAGTAAGGCTGTGTAATTCAGAAGTCAGTCAGCGTCAAGAAAGTAGCTGGAGACTTGTGTCCTTCAGTATGCTGCAGTAGATGACCAAGGTGAAATTCAGAGCAATGCAGTGATTCATTCTGTTGACCCTGAAAGTTATGACAGTTGACACATCCATCACTATCACGCATCTATAGATGAACACATCTTTTTCAACAACATCAGAGCTTGTGTCTACCAGGATGCTCAGTCCAAGAATTTATCGAATAACATAATTTTGGGGTTGGAAGAGACCTTAAAGACCACCCTACACCCCGATGTGGGCAGAGACACCTCCCACCAGAACAAGTTACTCAAAGCCCCACCCAATCTGGCTTTTGAAGGCCTCTGGGGACTGGGCATCCACAGCTTCTCTGTGCAACCTGTTCCACCAGCCACATAGTAAAGTAATTTCTTTCTAATAGTCAATCTAAATTTTCTCTCTTTCAGTCAAAGCCATTACCTATTGTCCTATCAGGTCATGCTCTTTTAAAAAGTTCCTTCCCATCTTTCCCATAGGCCCTAGATAATGGAAGGCTCTTCAGAGCCTCCTCTAGGCTAAATAATCCCAACTTTCTCAGCCTGTCTTCATAGTCCTTCAGCCCTCTGAACATCATAGAATCAGAGAATCACCACGATTAGAAAAGATCTCTAAGATCATCCAGTCCAACTGTCCACTTACCACAGATATTTCTGCACTAAACCATGTCCCTCAGTGCAACATCTAAATGTTTCTTGAACACTTCCAGGGATGGTGACTCAACCACTTCCCTGGACAGCCCATTCCCCTTCCCTGGACCTGCACTGAACAATTTCTCATTTTGCTTATGCTGGAGCCCCAGAGCTGAATGCAGTACTCCTGGAGGAAACAGAGAAGAGGGAGACAACTACCTCAATCACCCTGCTGGTCACACTTCCTTTGATGTAGCCCAGGATACAATTGGTTTTCTGGGCTGCAAGTGCACATTACTGGCTCGTGTTGAGCTTTTCAACATCCAACACCTCCAAGTCATTCTCCTCAGGATTTCCCTCAGTACATTCTTTGCAGTAATTGGAAGCATGTTTTCATGTGTTCAGGCTTGTTCTAGCCCATTGTCCAGTATTTCCACACAAAGGAAATAGTTTCTCTTTGATCAGGTGTATCTGTCAGCACTTGGAGCAAATTTATACAGATTAGAGCAAAAAATCTCAAACTGACATTTTAGGTGAAAAGCCTAAACACACCAACTATCTCAAAAGACAGCTTTTAGTATTTGGAATTTTGTTTAAAATAAAAAATAAGCTTCTTTTCTTCTACTAGTGCTGAGAGATTTTTCATCACATCTCCATGTTCCCATGTGTAACTGCAGCTTAAGTGGAGGAGATTTCAGCAGTTGTGTGACTGCTACTGCAGCTCTTAAGCAGGAATGCAAGCAGTGCTAGGAGTGCCTTTCTCCTTCCATCCACCCAGATAAATGCATATCACTGTGGATTTATTTACAGAGTGACAGGATGCTTCTGTTCTATCTTTTCTGTGACTGTTTTCTCTGCTTCCTGAGAGAAATGCTGACATTTGCTGGGGATTTTTCATTTTTTGCCTTCAGCATGCAGAAGTTCTATAGCCTTGTTCATTCCCAAATGTAACTCGGTGTATACAGTTTAACATGGCAATGTTTAACCCACCACAACTAGGAGGTCCTCCAAATCCCTGCTTTTTTGACTTTACCAATTGCTACTTAAGTAAATCATCAGTACTTGTATTACTAACATTACCTCAGTAGTTCTGGTATGAAATGAAGTCAGATGCCAGAATGACTTGCAGAGGTATTACTGATATCCTTAAGACTTCTTTGAGGTAGAGACAGTATGTTGGCACGCAAAAAAATCATCAAAGCCAAAGAAAGTGATGGCTTCACCAGCCAACAGATGGGTCCGTGAAATGAAAATCAGGTTTCGCAAGTTTATATCTCTTGATTGATGCACAGCCACCTCAAGACGTTATCCTGCTTTGTGGGTTAGAGCTCTTGGAGTCAGCAAAAGTACAGTTGACATGACTGTAAGTAATTTGCTATGAAGTCTTTTAGATGGATGCAGCAATTTAATCTTCATATCCAGCTATTTGTTTGAAATGTCTTCAGCTATAGTGAATACAGTCCATCTGCTGTTATGAAGTAGCCATCTAACTTCACAGAACCACAGAATGGTTTGGGTTGGAAAGTGACCTCAAAGTCCAGCCATCCCCAATCCCTGCCATGGGCAGGGCTGCCCCTCACCAGCTCAGGCTGCCCAGAGCCCCATCCAGCCAGGTCTTGAGTGCCTCCAGAGATAGAGCACTGCAGCTTCTCTGGGCAGCTGTGCCAGCGCCTCACCACCCTATGAGTAAAGAATTTCCTCCTAACATCTAACCTAAAATTTTCCTCTTTTAATTCAAAGCAATTCCTCTTATCTCTATCAGACTGTGTTGCTTCTGCATTTGGAATTTCCTATTTACAATGGCCATTCAAAAATTGCTCGTAAAAACTATATGGTAAAGGACAACATATAGAAAAAGGAACCTGGAATGGTAGCAAAGGGATCCTCAATTTTGTCTTTTTCAGCCAGAAAGAGGCAGCACACAACAGAGTGTGCACTAAGGGAAAAAAAGGCTGCATGTCCATAATCAGATTATTTAGTCTCTTACTAGAAAACCACAAAAACTATGTGAACAAAAGCAACAAGTGAACTAGAGTGACAAATTCCTCTGAATTGCAAGGAGAATGCAAAAAAGGATGCACACAGGTATAGCAGATTCTGAAATATGATACTTGAATCTCTGGAAGCAGTAACTTGCTGTGGATTGAGTTTTACAAAATAAACCTCTGTCCCAGTGGACACTGAAAATTCTTGGTAATTTCTAGATAGATGAGAAAGAAGGATTTGTTGCCGCAGAAGCAGGTAGAAATGACAGTACAGTTGTTTTCTCCTACCACCCATGAAAGCTATGGCCTTGGAATAGCATAAGACACTGGAAAAGAAAACTGAGCTATTTTTGCCTGAGCTATGGCATTTCTTGCTGGAAAAAAAAAAAAAAAAAAGAGACAGAAAAACACAGAAAAACAAAATTGGAGCTGTGTGGAAGATAATGTTCATGAGAAAATAGGTGAAAAAATGCTGTACAGTAATTTATTTCTCGTGACTGGAAAGTGAACCCTTTGCCTTAGGACTATAATTTATTGTATTTCATAGGGCTGAATTCTAACTGGCTGAACATAAATCATTATGCTAAATGAAGCCTTGGTCGCTTCCAGACACTCAGCAGGATACTTGCCTTCTTTTTTATTTTTGCTAAGCAGCCAATTTTCTGTCTTTTCTATGCATTTCCAGATGTTCTGTGATGGCACTGTCATGGAGTTGTTTCAGAATCTTCCATTTTTTTGTTTTCTCACCTTACCAAATGTGGTTTAACCCTAGTAGGGAGCTCAGCACCATACAGATGCTCTTTAATGGATGGGATAGGGGAGAGAATCAGAAAGGTGAAACTGTGAGAAATTGTGAGCTGAGGTTAGGACAGGTAATGCCCAAGATGCAGGTAATGCCCAAGTTGCATGCACAAGGAGAACAAAGTTTTTAACTGATTAGTCTGTAGAAGCTTTATGTACAGACTGAATTGGGACACAATGCTAGCCTAATTGCAAGGAACCCTTAGGAAAAGACCAAAGAATCTAGAGTGGTGAATGCAGCTGGAATTACAACATATTCCTTCACTTAAAAAAGTGGTGCTTTCAGGCTGTCTGGGAAGAATGCCTCAGAAGTTAGGCTTATTGTTGAATTTGTACTTCTCTCCCAATAACATCTATCCACTATTCTTTAGTACTTATTCTGAAATCCAAAATGTAGTAATTGACAGAGGTTTTTTCATTTTAGACTACACTACCTACTACTCACTTTACCATAAACCCAAATTGCAAAAAGAGGAGCCAAGGGCAAAGATGAAGGACAAGAATCAGATAAGAAGTGAAATTGGACTGGATTTCAGTCATTTAATTAGCAGTACATATGGAAAGAAATTAACATGAACACTTCTGTGAAATGAGACCACTATGGTTGTGTGGTGCCATAGCTTTTACTCAATACCAGAATATTAGCTGTAGTTAAAATTGTTTCACCACCAAAACAGACAGATTTAAAACTTATGAGGCATAGTTTAACTGCAGTTCCCACACATAAACAAAGGTTAACTGTGGCGGGGCCCTCCCTATGGCATCCCCGTCGTTCATTGTAGCACATCAGTCAGGGCACACCCATTGCCAGCAGACTTTTAGTCATCAGCAGCATTCGTAACAGCATTCAAAATCTCTTTTTTTTTTTTTTTTTGCTTCTTCCCTCTTCCTTCCACATGTCTGTCAAATGCAAACATTAGCTCAGACTTTGTAAGGGTAACCTTGCTATTCTCTCTCACTTCTCTCTCACCTTAACACAAGGAAACCAACTATTGAAGAATAACTGTTTCTCCTAAATCCTATCTGTATCTTACAACACGCAGCAGAAATTAAAAACAATTTTCTCACTATGGAGGTGTCAGTGTTCCACTACCACACCCTTCTAACTTTGTTTTTCCTTCTTATTTCCCAGCAATATATATCAATCTTATCACCTCCCTTTCAGGGCAAGCTCCTCAAGACTTTTGGTCCCTACATCCCTCATCCTTCCACAATTCATAACTTGAATACTAAGATTAGAGCTCATCTCAACACAGGCTCCAAATGGAGCCACCAAGAGACACCTGAAAATGAGACAAACTGCACTCCAGTCACCAGGCATGAAGCCAAGTAACTAGCTGAGCCACAGACATCTACTTGTGCCCTGGATGTCTACATTAGAGGAGGTAATTCCACTCAGACATGTCTGAACAGCCTATAGCATCTATGATACGTTTTTTGTGCATTTAAAATTAATTTTATTGTTATTTGTTACTGGATCATGTTACAGAAGAGAAAAATGACAATTTCTTTTATGAGCTGCACTTCATTTTGAACTAGAAATTTTTTTTCTTCCAGTAGTACCTGCAGTAGGTTTTTTGCTCTGCACTAAAACTCAACATTGCCTGGAGAGCTGGCATTCTCCTCAGCCAAAAGAAAGTAACCATGTGGAATATACAAGTAGTTTATGAGATGGTTTTCTGTCAGTGAAATATTTTAAAATGTGTTGGCAAATGAAAATAGTGGTGTTAAGCATTCCCAGTTCCCATAGCATTATTCTTTCTCCCTTAGAGACATTCATTCTGTGTGTATGTGGATACAAAAATCAGCTGGACTGTAGCCATTCATTGGCACTTTGGAAATGGAAGGGGAAAAGAAATGCTGCTTTCAACAATCACAGAGCCACGGAGAGCTCTTGTGCTGTATTTTAATTAAAATTTAATATTTTTTCTATGCTCAAGGGCTACCTTGGTATAGGAGTAGAAATAATCATATTCGTAGTCATAGATGACCTGGGTTGAAAAGGACCACAATGATCATCTGGTTTCAACCGCCCTGCTACATGCAGGGTCGCCAACCACCAGACCAGGCTGCCCAGAGCCACATCCAGCCTGGCCTTGAATGCCTCCAGGGATGGGGCATCCACAGCCTCCTTGGGCAACCTGTTCCAGTGTGTCACCTCCCTCTGTGTGAAAAACTTCCTTCTAATATCTAACCTAAGCCTCCCCTGTCTCAGTTTAAAACCATTCCTCCTTGTCCTATCAGTATCCACCCTCATAAGCAGACTTATTCCCCTATACACTCCTTTCAAATATTGGTAGGTCACAATGAGGTCTTCTCAGAGCCTTCTCTTCTCCAAGCTAAATAGTGCCTGAGTAGTTGCCTCTGTTCCCATAGTCCTTGCTTTCTTGTGTTAGCAGCTGATATGCAAGCAATAGTAGAATACTGCTGCTATGTTCACTGAATTCTTGGGCTATGGTTTATATTTTGCCTGTGCCGTTGTAATCACAACCAGCTCTCCACCCACAATAAATAAAAAACAGATGGCACAGTAAGCTGCCATGCCCCAATACAAATTTTGTTTATTTTGACATACTTTGAAATCAATTTCTTGCCTTCTGTGGATTTCCCTGTGTTCCCATCTCCTCTGTCTTTTCTCTAGACTGTACGTGAGTTCTCTGTCTGCAGAGGTGGATACACAGCCTGAC